TAGCGTACATATTTTGATGGAGGATCATGAAGAGAACATGTCAGAGATTTTGTAAAGTTTTTGTCTTAAAATTAATTATGGGAACGTCAATTTACGAGCTGTCTCAATAATCTCACTACAGAATCTTACATCATTTGGTATTGGGTTTTGTCTTTTTTAACTCTAAAATATCTTAACAATCTAGATTAATTCGTGGGATGTAAAAAACGAACATAATTATACAATGTCGTTTTACATGAATAAGAAATCAAAATCAAAATTATTTATTTAAATTATTAGAGTTTTTTTTTATTTAAGTTAATTTTTTATAAATATTTTTTAGTATTTCAACATAAACAAAATAAAAATTTTGTTGACTTGCAATTATTTTGGACAAATTGAAAATGATTGATTTATAATTAAATTAGCATATCATCATCTCATCGGGTGGCCGGCCCTTGTTAACTAATTATTGATTGGAACATGCGTTTACTATGCAATCCTTCTTTGCATCAACCGATATGTAGGAAGCAATTACTCAATAAAGGATAGTTAACAGTTATCTCCATATAATTTGGATTTACCGACATCCCGAACGGTGTCGTATCGTACAGCTAGATGTTTGGTGGTTGTGTTGCTCATGTTATTAGGTGATGGATTTTCTAAGTTTGGCTAGCCGTTGTTCACTTTTTATGCTACGGTCTCGAGTTTCAATTCAAAAGGATCGCAAGAAATTAATAGCACGAGTTAATTAGAAGATGAATGGCATGTTTAAAACTCAATCAAAACAAGATACTAATCAAAATCATTTTTAAATTTTAACTTATTTGAAAATCTTTTATTGAATTTCTAATTTCGAATTTGATATCTCCTGAATTTTATTTCTTATGAGATTCAGTTTGTTTTATAATTTTCAATTATTACTTATCTATTTAAAAAATTTATTTTTTGATATTTTGAACTGAATTTTTTTGCACAAATTGTGAAAAATTCAACCCATTTTATAAAGGATCGATTAAGTTTAAACGTGATTTAATGTTGATTTAATTCAAAAAATAAAGATTTAATCTTGATTGATGTAAATATTAACTTAAAGATACCTCATTATATATGACATATACAAAATTCAAAATGGTTCTAAATTATTTTTTAGAGTCTTTAGTAAATATTATTAAATAATTTTTATTAAAAGATCATTTGTGTGATCATTATTTTTTTTATATAAAACTAAAAAAAATATACTAATTTTTTTAAAAATAAAATTAAAAAAAGTCAAACTCGAAATTAAAAGTTTAATGACTGATTTTTTTTTTCAAATAAAGATATGAGAAATTTTAACCTATGTAGCCATGCCGGTCTGAAAATACCTTTAATGCTAATACCATCATAACTGTAAAAAAGTGTCATGCCACCATAGCCTTTCCGCCCTTTTCACTTTTTCTTCAGACGTGATAATGATTGCACTGGAACTTAAAATTTTACTCTTCCCCGTGCTTTGCTGTACGAATACAATAAAAGTTATTACATACCGTACAAGTATTTTGGAAGAGGAAACACTTAAAATCTGTGCAATCAATAATTAATAATCCGATGGGTAAAGCCACGCTTATGGCATATTTCCTCTCCCAATCCTCTTTGACCCGGCCGATGAGAGAAAGAGAGAGAGAGAGATTGGATTCTTTCTGCCCTTTTGGTTCAACTTTCTAGTTAACGAATATAATCAAATTGATTGATGATAACAATAGTTAACAAAGATTTTAGACAAAACACCATGAGGTCCAGACTAGTTGGGTCTTTGTTTGGTGGTCTTTCACGTGCTTGAGGTGGGTATAGCCGTATCGGAGGGTTTGCTTAGCTGGAGGACCGACCAATTAGATAGGTTTGCCTGTGATTGTGGGACCCATTGAAGGTCTATTTTGGACAAGGAAAGGAAAGGGTGGTTCAATAAAAAATTATGTAGCACAAACAAAATTTTTATTTTACAACGATCAATTATCTAAAAAAAAAAAAAAGAGAAGAAAATGTCATTTTAGTCTTATTTGGAAAAACCCTTTTATGAGATTTTGTATCTGTATCAAATCGGCAAATTAATTTTTTTAAAATAATTTGACGAATTTGTTTGTTATATTTAGACAATTCAGTCTAAATAACCTTAGTTCCCGACAAGCACTAAAAAACTAAGTTTATATAAAAAAAATAAGTTTATTAAATGAGAAGTGTAAATTGAAATTAGATTTCTTCTATTTTTACTTTTTTTTAAAAATACATAATATGAGGTGTGTGGAGCTGTGAAGGAGCCAGATATAGATATCACATTAATTTTATTTATTTATTTATAATTTTTGAAAACACATTTTATTTTTTAAAAAATTAGGGTAGGCCGTTTTAATCAAAATTATATATCATGTGGCTAATATTTTTTACGTCAACAAGGTTTTTTTTTTTTTTAAGAATTAAAGACAATTGAATCGAATTGTGTAAATATAACAGTTACGGAATCAAATTTGTCAAATCATTTACATCAAATTTAAAACAAATCGAGAGTCTTAGAATAGAGTTTTTTCCATGTTATTTTAATAATTTTAAAAATATCATTAATATTTTAATAAGTTTGATACATGTACGTGGTGGTGACCTGTGCAAAATTCATGATCAACAACCGTAATAATTGAACAAAAAGGAATGAAATATATGGTCCACGAATAAATTTGGAAAGGAATACGTATAATAAGTTATCTTTAGTACTGAAATAAAATAATTTTGTTCTTGAACTAGACGACCAAGCAAAGCCGAATTGATTTGGATCATGTGTTAAGAGATTAAGAGTTGTTTATTCAATCAAATTATTGCAACGGTCATATAAATAACTTTAGAACGTCATGTTAACTTTTGTATGACTATTTATGAAAGTGACCGCAAAAAGCCAAAAATCAAACACTCTAAAATGTTCTCCTTTTTTCTCTTCAAAGCTAACCATTTAATTACAAGAAAAATAAAGTTGTGATTGGTATAATTCAAAACTCAAAAAACAAAATAATATTTTTATAAATTTACATTCGCTATCAGCTTCCCAGGCATGCCAGAAAAACACATCATGCGTCTCCATCTTCTCTCATTTTCACATCCAAGCAATAAAAAAGCTTACTTAGAAAACACTCATCCTCAGTTAACTACCTATGGCAATAAGCCTGCCCTTAATAAAACCCTTGAAATGACTAGGTTACTGCCCCCGTTTTTTAATTATTTTAACTCGTCGAACATATATATATATATATATATTCAGAACTTAGATAGACTGTTTAGGTTTAAATCGAAATATTTACAATTGTTTTTTTTGGGATTTTTTTTAATATATCGTGTGTGAAATAATAACGTATAAAACAAATCAAATTACGTTGTTAAGAACAGCTAGGGTAACCTGGTGGTATTTTTAAGTTGAATACAAAGTATGGTGACCTGTACACATATGTCATCTAGTTGTATCTCTTATCCAATAGGGAACCACTAACCATGCCATAAGGTCCCACGTCACAACCACAGACCACACCTCCCAACGTTCCCTTTTGCCACCGCCAAGCCATCTCAGGCCACAATTTTTGCCATGTGGAAAACGACTAAATTTTCTCAGAAAAAGGACAAAAGGTCCGCGATGCTAGCCATTACAGCAATTGGCTGAGAGAAACCCAAACCCACGTGTCCCTCTCTCAAAATTCTCAATTGATTAAATTCAATGCCTCCTCCAATGCCAAAAAAGAAAAAGGAAAAAAAGAAAAATCAATGGTCCCTCGTCTTGCTCTCTGGTTTTTCTCCTTACCTTAGCAGCCAGTAGGGTTGAAACGTTTTGGAGATTTGACCGGTCATTAGGCACTACTGTTTAAAAACAGTAAATTTGGTTCATTTATGACTCTCTGCTAGCTCGTGGGACTCATGGCTCTGCACCCTCCCTGCCTCTGCACCACTTTTGTCATCTCAGGGTCAAGTGGGCATAAGCCCAACTGGCTAAAAATCTTTCTCGCGTGTTTTTGGCCCTGATCAATTGGGTATAAGTTCTGCTCTCGTTGTTTTTTTTTTTTTTTAACGTCTTCAAGGAATCAGGGCACATCAAATGCTGATGCAACGAAAAGTTACCTTAACACATATGCTCTTGAGTCTTATCTTCAAATAGGTTCAATGCCAAATCTGCCGTTTGAACTAAGGAGAGTGCCTTAAAAGTAAAAAAAGAAAAAGAACAAGACTTTATCCAGGAAGAAAAATGAAGAAACCGGAGTGAGTAAACTAACTTTGAAGGGTAACTAAGTGACATGGAGTAATCAAACAATTGAAAAGGAAAAGACAGTAAGTAGTGGAAGGACAGCAATAAGGAAGCAAATGCCCCAAGTGCCAGCCCATAGAAGAGAGGTTGAGTGGGGAGGAGGTGGCACTGAAAAGCTAAGCATTTGTGAAAGTGAACCCAACCAAAAACCAACTACCAAAACACAACCAAAAACAAGAGCGCATACTCACTTGCTGGATTGCTTGTATATTCCTTTATAAAACAAAATTAATTTGCTTTTACTAAAACTTAATCCAAGTAGTAAACAGGTACACTAATTATTTTTTTTAAAATATAGAAAATGTATCATTAAAATTACTTGAAAAGCAAATTTAATTTAATTTCAATTGATACGTTAGATATTCCAAATATATAACTTAGAGATAAATAAAAAAATATTTAATATTAAACCCAATTAAAAGAAATAATAATGATAATAATAATAATAAAAGACAGAAAAACAAAGAAAGGAAAAAGAAAAAAGAAAAGAAAAAAAAAAAAGGTAGCTAGGCTTTACTGACTCTCAGCAGTTATCACCATATATACCCCTACTCCCTCCCTCAAAGCCTCACTCAATTCTTAAGACCAAAGGCCAAAACATCTCTGCTTCTCTCTCCTTTTCTTTCTAAGAACTTGTCTTCCTTTCTCTCCGGGAGGTTTAATCAAGCAAGTTTAGTTTATTTTCTTGTTTTTTGGTATGGCGAAGGACATGGAAGTAACCGAGGCAGGATCATTCTCTGCTAAGGACTACCATGACCCACCACCAGCACCATTGATTGATGCAGAAGAGTTAACAAAGTGGTCATTTTACAGGGCCTTGATTGCTGAGTTTATAGCAACTTTGCTCTTTCTTTATGTCACTGTTTTGACTGTTATTGGGTACAAAAGCCAGATTGAAGGAAATCCTGATGGTTGTGCTGGGGTTGGTATTCTTGGTATTGCTTGGGCCTTTGGTGGCATGATATTTGTTCTTGTTTACTGCACTGCTGGTATTTCAGGTGGGTTTCTGCGTTTTGGTATTTTTTTCTTTTTTTCTCGTCCATGAAGCTTGTGACTTTCGAGCTCTTTCTTAGCTTACACTATTTACTTTTTCCAGCTATATTGTCTTCTATTTAGTTTCTGTTATAAATTAAAGCAAATACGTAGGCTGAAAACGGATTACTGTGAAATGAGTTAAATATATTATCTCTACAGTCTCTTTGCCTTTTCTTTTTCTTCTTTCTTCTTCCCTCAACATGTAAGTTGTTGCAGAGGATAGTGCATAGTAGTTTCTAGATAAGTACTTTTACCAAATATGATCAGCAAACAAGCATAGGATTGGATTTCATGTTGTTCACCATGAATTTTAATCACAAAAAAACTGACATGAAAATATCACCTAAACTGCTATATTTTGAAAGGAGGATTTTCTTTTTTTTTTCCTGTTCAGAAAGATGTAGTTAAAAAAAAAATTGGTTGTAGTTTGTTGTTTATACCAAATTGCAAGTGATAGTAATTGAAATTTTGTCAACATAAACTTTACTATATGACAATGAGTTAGCTAAAACTGAAAATCATATATACTCTTATCCTTTTGCACGCACACACAGTTTTGAATATGTGATATGTTTTATAAGATCACAATCAATTTACCTGTCATATTAAGTGATGAAAAAGAGGGTTTGCTTTACCTAGTCTTGATTTTTCTAATATTTCCTTTCTTGGTAAAGTTTGGTGAAAACAGCGTATGTTAGCCAATACTGACACAAACTTTCTTTGTTGCGCAGGGGGTCACATTAACCCAGCAGTGACATTCGGGCTTTTCCTAGCTAGGAAGGTCTCTTTGATCCGGGCTGTGATGTACATGGTGGCTCAATGCTTAGGAGCCATTTGTGGTGTTGGGCTGGTTAAGGCCTTCCAAAAGTCTTACTACACGCGCTATGGAGGTGGAGCCAACACTTTGATGGAAGGGTACAGCACAGGAACTGGATTGGGTGCTGAGATAATTGGAACTTTTGTCTTGGTCTACACCGTGTTCTCTGCCACTGATCCCAAGAGGAGTGCTAGGGACTCCCATGTGCCTGTATGTGTCTTTAACACTCTCATGTGCCTTTATTTTGTTTCTTACCATTTGGTTTTCTCGATGGGTTGCACTAGCATAGAGCATGAGACACAAGGGCTATAATTATTCACTATATTTCACTCATTTTATTTATTTAACTAGTGTGGTCACCATCCAAAAATGTGTTGGTTAAGAAGAACTTAATGTATGCTTATAGATAGTAACTTAGGTTTAACCTAACCTATACTCCTTTATTGATTTGATGCTGGACCATTTTGCTTGGATTGCTGAATTACTAATGACCGAAATGAATTTCATTTTCTTTCTTTCTTTTCTAATGAATAATACTAAGTCCTACCCCTTTGTAGTAGTAAGCAGCTCAAAAGACACGTTCATAATTCACTTTCGTGCGACCATGAATGCTGAATGTTTTACACTTGAAGAAAGAAAAATGGCATCTTTTTGTTCAATTCATAAATTCATTTCCATGGCATGCAATATTTAGCCATTTGTTTTCTAGTAGTAGAAATAGAAGGTAATTTATTTTCTTTAGTCTCACTAGTGATTATTATTGCCTATCTTAATTTCTGACCCAAATGAGGAAGAGTAATGAAGAAAATGAACTAGCATCCCTAACAACTTAACATGTAACTAATTTTCCATCATTGATTCGTGCACTTTTGGGGTGCCATCAAAGTAAATTCAATGCACGAGTCACCATTTCTTTCCTTCTTTTTGTTCCCTTGTCATAAAGAAGATTCTACTTTTTTCAGTGTGACTTGTGTGCTCTGTCCATGACTAGGAACAGTTTCTATCCAACTTTATTCCACAACTTTGGTCCTCCTTTTATGTCACGATTTTGGTCTTGTATTAGTCTTTACGTGAGCTATCCGTTTTGCATTATTGTACACTGCTAAAGCAAAATGACTTCTGTACATGTGGTTGATGTCATCTTCCTTTTTTGCTCTGTTACAACCTGTCCAGTTTCATGTGATCCAATATCTGTAATGTACTATTTTGCAATTTTTAGTTGAGATAGAAAATTTTTTTATTTTTTGAATACTTCCAAAAAGATTTGTATGCTTGACGTGTTCATGAATATCACCATTTGTGTTTTTGGTTGAAGTTTGCACCTTTTTCTTTTAATTTTTCATTGAGAAGGGGTATGTATGTCTGTGAGATTCACAATTATTAACCAGATTTATGTTTGATTCATTCTTAATTAATAGGTTTTGGCTCCACTTCCAATTGGATTTGCTGTCTTCATGGTTCACTTGGCCACCATCCCCGTCACTGGTACTGGCATCAACCCTGCTAGGAGTTTTGGAGCTGCTGTTATCTACAACCAAGACAAGGCCTGGGATGACCAGGTAAGCATCCACTTTATGCAACTACTATTTAAATTAGTTACTTGAAGATTTTTGTTCACTTTGTAATGGGTACTTAACTTTTTTGTTACCTTTCCTTGCAGTGGATCTTTTGGGTCGGACCCTTCATTGGTGCTGCCATTGCAGCCTTCTATCACCAATTCATCTTGAGAGCAGGAGCTGTTAAGGCTCTTGGATCATTCAGGAGCAACCCAAATGTTTAAATCTCGAGTCTTTTTCAACATGAATAATGAGAAAGTGCTTGTGCTTGTGGCCTAGCTAGTGCATGCGTGCATGATGGTTTCTTGAAGCTCTTTGGTTTCTCTTGTGGGTGGGTGGGTGAAAAATGAGGGTTTGGGAATCATGAAAATTTGTAGATAAAGTCTCTTTGAAAGGGAGGCTTTTATTATCCCTTTTGTCATTTTCAGGCACTTGCCTTAGAATGCACTTCAATGTTATGTTTTTTTCTTTGCACCGATCATGCTTCTAAGAAAAGGGAGGCTATGATTTTCTTCTTCTTTGCTTATTGTCGTTGCCACTTTCAAGTTCCATCATCACATTTTTGTGCTTGCACCACTAAGATACTGAATCTTGGCATGCCATGGTATAGCAAATTTAGGAATACATAAATTCTTGCCCTATTTTTTATTTCTAATTAGTTAATCAGAAGCCATCCAATTATTCTTGCCCTATTTTTTATTTCTAATTAGTTAATCAGAAGCCCTCCAATTGAGCTTGATCCATTATTGAACTAACCAAGATTCGGTCCAAACCTAATTAGCTAAAAGATAAAATGCAAGATAGGACCATAACCATTCCATATCTTGTCTACAATAAATAAACGCAGCTAGCTTTGCACAAATCTTCCTATTTATTGATTTGTTGACATAATATAACAGAGCATTCAGAAAGGGGTTCTATGCACGTGATTGCCACCTTACAATCGTATAATATAAACAGTAATGTTTATATTCTGTAATTCTATATTAGCTAAGCTACAAAGTAGATCATCTAATTTGATTTACATTGAAGAAATAATGGTGACAAGAGAGTTCACGGCTGATAGCTTTAAAAGTGTTATAATACTTGTCAAACCTCTCTTGGGATCAAGTGTGAATTAACAAACCGCTAGAATCTTCTTAACGTTCATATTTTGTTTCTTGTTTATTATCATACCAAATTAGACAAGAGAGTAGACCCTTTATTTTTTGTTTTTTCTGGGTTTATCTTTTTTTTTTTTTTTAATTGCAATGGATAGGTATTGCTTGACTGTTGAGGATGTAATTCTAGAGCTGAACTAAAGCGATTCTATGGTTTATTCCGTTTTCATCAAAAGTATTTTGAAGTGGGATAAAGTTAAAGCCGGCAGCAGACGCAACATTGCTGGCTCTTTTAACTTGACCAATGAAAAGAAGAAAGGAACAAAAAACTTGCAATATTTGCCCATAAAACTCGATTAAAAGGAAAAAAAAAAAAAAAAACCCTCCTATAACAAAAAAAGGGTTGAAAACATGGGTTTTTGGGCTCAAACCGACATCCAAATTCTGTAAATTGATATTCACCTTTCTCTGGGCTTAATTAGACTTAAAGCCCATCTATTTATTACCAGTTTTTCTACCTCAGTCTTTATTTTAGGCTCAATTAGACATAAAGCCCATCTTTTTATATACCAGTTTCTCTAACTCATGCTTTATTTTAGGCTCAATTAGACATAAAGCCCATCTTTTAATATACCAGTTTTTATTCCTCATGCTTGGCTCAGTTCACCTGAATGTTGCTATTGGATCCTGGGGATTTTGAAGCTCAAAGCTCCATGGAGGCTGCCACGGAGATAGATTTCTTTCCATGACTGTTGAGCTAAAGCACTGCCTGATGATTGACAAGTGGCAATGGCCTTAAGGCATCAATTTTAATGATGGGTAATCAGGACACGGTCAAAAGTTAAAAGTGTGCTCTGAAAACAAAATGCTTTAGGAAGTTTTGACCGCTCCACGGCCGATCTTTTTTACTGTTCTTTATGATAAAAGTGGAACATATGGCATAAATAAATGGTTAATTAAAAAGCACTTTTTATGACCACTTGAATTCTTAATTGCTCTAGCTCCCCCAGTTTAATTATAATCTGTTTTCTTGATGCAAGTGTAAAACACGAGCAAATTTTAAATTAGTCCCTTTCATTTCAAAAAATAAATTAATTAGTCCATTTTTAAAAACTAATCATTTAGTTTTCATGTTTTTAAATCTATTTGTAACTTTGTCTTTTTTTTTATTTTTTTTATTTTAACTCTTTTTTTTAAGAAATAGAAAAAATAAAAAAATTAGTGAGAAAAGAACACAATTTATGAAATAAATTTAATATTAAATTTAGCATAGTAAACATCGGTCAAGGAACTAAACAATAGTTTTTAAAACAAAAAAGACTAATTAATTTATTTTTAAAACTAGAGGGGCTAATTTATAATTTACTCTGTAAAACACAGTTTAACTAGTGGCGTTTTAGAATTTAGAAAGAGGAAAAATTAACTTAAAACCCCAATATTATCAAAAGCTTTTTTCTATATCTATTTTTTTTTTCATTCAAAATTTTTATCAACTGTCTTTTTTTTTACAGAAAAAGGCAACTACAACATCAAATACACTCTTCAATCGTTTAGCCGTATGTTGATAGAAGAATGGAAAGACGAAGTTTCCTATCTTTATAACACTGCCATTCCCTTTCAAAGCAATAGAGTTCAATCTCCTGGAAACTAGTATAGCATGTTACATGCAGGATGTGTCTAGAAATTGTCGCTTCTAAGTCTAGCGTTTTCTTCTGAACTATGACACTAGCGTGAAAGCAAGCACTTGCTTTTCCGTTTCTCTTTCTTATCGCGACATAATGACTTTGGTCCAAATCACCCACTGTCCCACCCTTCCTTCGCCTGCAATCCTTTAGAAAAAGCCTTAACATGCATAGAAGATCATGATTTTTCCCAACACGAGACAAGGCAATCAATGTACACTTGTCATTTCTTTTTCGGATTTCTATTTTTTTTTTTGGGTTATCAGACTCAATGGCCTCTATCACTTTATGCCTAGTTGAAATCCGAAAACAAAGCAACGAATCAAGATATAAAAAAGACCAGCTAGCTCCAATACCAAGCTTCCTGTGTAGTAAGCTCAAAACTATGGCACCTATCTCCACCCTCATCTTCTACCTCTTTTCTTGGTTTTATGATGTCTCCACTGTTCACGTATCCCCACTCAACACTGTGCAGTTTCGGGACCCCCACGTGTTCCCAGCACTGGGATATGGTCTCATAGTCTCAGATTTCTCAACCCTTTATTGATCGGATCAGTGTATGGGGCTAGCATGTCTTCAGCCAAAGTTTTTGTCAGATAAAACATACACCGTGGTTGCTGCAGCAAAGCTAGTCCGCAGGTCTTGTTTTTGGGCCGAGTCTTGCTGTACATTTGGGGTAAATGATGCCTTTTTTTCTTGATCTCAGTCTTCAATTTCTCTGCATGTTTGTCTTCCCTTCATTTATATCTTGTATTTCCTTGTTATGATATTTGCAAGCACATAAGAGTATATTGTACTTTATAGTTTTTAGTTATCAATGAGCTAATCTAGAGTTTGATGTGATGTAATCTATGGCTTCCGATTGTTTTAATTAAGCCAGCTGGATGTAAAATCTGATTGAATTTGTCAGATTTTCGTATTCAATTGCTTATCTGATAAATTCAAAACCTAGTACGGATGGGGCTGAATTTACAACTATGTATTTTGTTATATCCCCATTAGTGGTTACTTTGCAATCACTAAAGAATGCTCACATCTTTCTTGTATGCAGTTTATTAGTTCTCAACATGTAACAGCATGGAGACCCAAACAGCAAAATCATAATCCCAGTTTATCCCGTTACTGTCATGTATCAAATTTCCAACCAAATGGCTAACCCATGTCATACTAGATGCAGCAATTTGAGACACAAGAAATGGAGACTCTGTCTTGCATAAATTAATTTTCATAGAGATCAAGGATGACACTCACATCAAGTCATCTACGCCTCAATGTTTGATTAGTTACCATGCTCAAGCAAATGCATCTTTTAGGATTAAAAGAATCAATTCATAATCGAATGATTTTGTCTGTTATTTTTGGGAATCCAGTGGTTTCGAGGTAGCAAGAAACTGACACTGAGATAACTACACTTATTAATGCTTTAAGATATGCGTGACTTGCATGAGATTAAGAAAAATGAAATGACATTCGAACAGGAGCATATAACAAACCTTTTGAAGTATTCGAATGGCGAAGAGAGGTGGCTCAGCAGGAAAGGAATGGGAAATCATCGAGGATGACTTATCCGTTGGTGAAACAAAGAGCGCCATTTGATCCTCAAGAAAAGTTTAGCAACCTTCTAGACATGGCATATAACTTCTTTTGCAGTGTAAATGTAGCCATCTGGTAACTACGAAGTTCAAACATTCAAAAGGCAAAAGAAAGCAGAGTAATAATTTAGGAAGGCATCCAAATGTGAGATTAAGAGTAATACTCAGTAACAAGTTAGGAAGACATCATAATGTGAGATTAATAGTAATACGGAGTATTTATGTGCGAAATAAGCTAAAGTGGTGATTGATCGAAGTATGAATGGATGTCCACATGCCTATCGACATTGGAATGCATAGCGAAGTTAGCAAAGTCAGCAGGCATTCCCTTGAGCTGCTTTGGATAATTACGTCGAAAAATTTGATGACTAAACATGCACAACTGACCAGCCATCTCTAAATTCGTGCCTCTCTGTGTGTCTGTCCAGAGCAGACAAGCCACCAAATCTTCAGAACACAGAGTTGACAAGCTGTTTTTAAGGGGTAAAAAAGACATTAACATACGAGGATACCACCAATTAGGACACGGCATAGCCACATGGTTTAGACATGAACTAAGTTGTGCATATAATATTATCAGAACAAAAATACCACCAATTTAGACATGGCGTAGCCACATGGTTTAAACATGGACTAAGTTGTGCATATAATATTATTAGAAGAAAATGATCATGTTGGTACCGAAGATATTCAAAACAAACATCGCACCAGTTAGAATGGGAGGAAAGATAGGGATCGGGTTGAGTTCTCTACCTGCTGCTAACAACCCAAATTGTTCTAATCTGGTTCTGCTCAAACTGCTTAACCTTGTTCCTAACTTTCTCACCAATTTCATTGTTCTTCTATCTAATAATAATAATAATAAAGACACGAAGAAGAAGCCAGAGTGCAGAAGATTCAATGCAACCTGCACCTAGAAGACAGGTTCATTATTTGTTGAATATCAGATACATTTGACCTTTCTCATTACTGCAATAAAAAATAATGGGAAAAGACACATTTGCACAAGTTCAACTATTCAAACTGTAGCAGCTCATCAAGTAATTGCATCAGTTTTGAAGTTGCCCATTTATCTCACGCATTTGCAAGGGGGAGCTATCAACAATTCGCTTACTTTCATAAACTATATAGCTATACAATTCATGCCTACGCTCAGGCTTCAATGATCTTAATTCTTTCAGAGGATCTGTTATCACATTTTTACTGCACAACTCCTTCGCTGGCAGGACATGATGAAACCAGAAATCAGAAAGTGCTATTTTCAGCGCATCCCAATATAACTCATCTCGGTATAACCTGAATAGACTGCTTCCTTTAGGAGTCCAAACATAGAACTCCATCCAATCCTTGTCCAGTATTTCCATTAAACCTTGAGCTTGTGGAATACAGTAAAGGGGGATCCGCTTCCAAGGTGAAGCCCTACTCATTTGTCCATTAAAAAATGGACACTTTATTTCTAACACTCCTGTGGAATTCAACCCATAATACCTGTCAACTAGCCCATCAGGCGAAGCTGCAAGCCAATCATCTTCTAAGTTGTTCTTACTGTAGACCTGAAATTTGGGAAACAAAACTGTATTTCCTGTAATCAACTTATATCTTTCAAGTGCTTCCTCTTCTTTGGCATTGCTCCAACAGGTGGCCAAGTTACCAGAAAATGGTTCTTTTGCACCAAGTTTCTCTAACCAGAGCTGGACTCGCCTGCCACGCCAAAAACCAATAGCCCCACTGAATGTGCTTGCCGTAAGTTTATGCTTTCTTCGATCCTGCCATTTTTTGAACCTGTGCTGAAGACTACTGGATTGAAGAATTGATGCGTAAGGGGTGCTTGAATATCTTGTACGGGAATTATTATAGATTTGATTATTGGCAGGGTGCCCTTCACCAAATGGATCCACTAAAACCTGGCTCGAGTAGCTTCTTCTGTTGTTAATATCAACCATAAAAGGACCTATATCACAATTATATTTGCCATTGTAATATGAAAGTCGAAAAATGATGTGGAAACAAGATTCAAGTTCTTCACTGCCAAACAAAAACAAATGACAGTAAGACCAATGAAATGGACAAAAGTACTAGGCAGACAATCAAAATTACAAGATACACCACATCTTCTAATTAAACCTGCACGTAAACATAAGAAATTAAACAGCCCATTTTAAGTAGCAAATTATGTTACTCAACAAAATGCTGTGCAATCATCAAGCTTCGGGATCAGACCCTGTCCAAAATATCTAAAATTGCTTCCACAAAAATGACATAGGTGCTAGATTCCCTCTAAGATATAAAGGCATTGTATCCATCATTGGAAAAAGTCAATTACTTTGATAGTTGTCTTAAAACTTTATGAACCAAGGTAACTGGTAAAGCAACCCAATACTATTCTTGCCCTTTCATGTTCACAAATTTGTTCAAATTATACCGCAAAATACTGAAAGAATTAGACAAATAAACTCACACACTAGACCATTCAAAGCCACAACTCACCCCACAAACATGTTTAGTCACACCATTAAAAAGCATACTTGGAGCAAAACCCAAATATACAAAATCATTATTTCAGTTCCCTAGAAAAATATAGCACAACATAAAAGATTGGTATCTAAATGTGCATGGAAATAATCAGGGCCTGACCCGGCAAGTTTTCGAAGAGGACTCAGCAGCATAGAGACACCAAATGGGCTTTATTGAGGAACACAAGCGGCGTCCAGGTGTTTGAAACAGAAGATATAGTTTCGGTTGCTAATCTATTAGATTGCAGAGAAAGAAAGAGTGCGGGAGTGGCAAAAGAGGGTTTTAGACTTGAGGTTTAAGAATAGAGGAGAGGAGAGGAGAGAGGCAGGAAGCCCTGATCTGTGTTTGTGCATAGGTTTTAAGCTAACCTCAAATCTGAACTATACTCTCTCCATCCTCTTACTTAGGTCGTAGAGGGACCCACAATTTTATCATATTACAATTTTAGACACCAAATGGATAAAACACAAAAGGATAAATAAAACGATCCAACGTAAAAGACCCAAAAACAGAGGGCAAACAGTAGAAAGAAATCAACCAAAAAATCAACAATCAGCTAAAGAAAACAGCATTGTGGGAGTACAATCAAACCACACAAAAAAAAAAAAAAAAAAAAAAAATCTGTACAGAACCCCAGCAAAGAAGAAATACACAAGCCTAAGTAGTTTCTACTTTGTTGGGGCCTTTCATAGAAATCAAAGAAAGATGCATCTATGGCCAACGATGAGAATACGGGACTCGTTCAAGATTTCTTACTTGAAAAAACTTGAATGGAATCTTAATAGAATGAACAGTGACAAGAAGCAGAAGTCTCAAAAAACCAGCTGCAACGACAACCAGCAAAGACTCTTGGATGATGGTGATAGTAGCATTACTAACCAACAGCCACCAGAAAAAACTTCTAAAGCTGTTTTGATTTGCAGAGAGATACTCATGCTCATCACTTGTTGCTACTGTTGTTTCTGTTGTGGAGGTAAATATTTGATCCATATGCTCTCTTTAGTATTTGTTGTGTTTGTTTTATGGGGCTTGTGTTTGGATTGGTGTTTGTTTATCCAAGTTTTTGTTTATTTGTGATTTTGATTTGTGGGGTTTTGATACCATAATCAATTTGTCGCTTCTGTGAATTCTGTTGGAACTCAAGTTTTGAGGGGATATATATATACACTCCATGTGATATCGAAGACGATGAGATGAAGGAGTTTATTGTTATGCAGTGTAGAGCCACTTATTGGGTTATTGGAACAGAGTTGGTGTCTTTAGATAATGCTAGACTCTTGCATAATTGTTTTCCAAGCCAGTAAGATCGTGCACACACAAAGCCTTTTCAATCAATTGTGATAGCCTGTTAAAATTTAGGATTTTCTGTTGAATCTTGAAATGATTGGCTTAATCCACATCGACCTGGCTGTTTGACGGGATGGGAATTTTTAGAATAGCTTAGGGATCAATCATTTAGAATTCCCTATGACGATATCTCGACATGATTAGATGTTGAGTGATAGGTAATTTCATTTGTAAAATCTCATCAGGAAGCTCAGAGAAATAAAAAATAAAGATTTTTCCAAGAATTAACTGAGAACTGTGGCGTTATTATTGGGTGATGTATGAAGCTGGAAAGGTCAATCACTTGTGGCTACTCTATGTTTGGGCTAGAGCGCTTTGTAGGCTGATCTATAAATCAGCAGCAGTCATTCGGCTCATATAGTCTGGGAGAAGTTCAATGCTTGGAGGGGTCAAGGTTTTTGTCCAGGAAAGAATGAGCTAGGGGGGATGTTTCTGCTAGCTAGATATTGGTTACTAGTAAAATGACTAAGTGGTTTTTTGAGGGGCAGAGTATACTTTACCCTTTTGGAAAGATGATTGCATTAGAACTTAAATCAATAGCATAAGGGGAAAACTCTTGCAACTGGAAATGATGCTGTAGAGTTCATTGGCTCATCATTTTTTGTAGTTGGCACCTACTTGGGCCTTTCAATAGAATTCTACCATGTATTTCAGTTTGACAATTCCTAATATCTTACTGATATAATTCATTTTGATAGTTTTAAGGTGGTTTTTGTGGTTCAAGTTGTGGATAACCAGACAAAATATACTGGAGTGATTATGAGAACTACCTAGAAAGCAAGTGTTTTTGAGAGTGATGATCTAGTAGATGTTTAATATTGATAATGATGATATGAATACCTGTTGCACACACCTCCCAACTCTTTCTGTTTAATTTTTTATCATGTTCTTTGCTATTAACTATCTAGGATGTTGCTTGTATCTTGGATGACTCCTACTCCTTTAAAATTTTTTATACCTTTTCCCCATCGCTTGTGGATTTTCCATTTTCATGGTAGTGCTTCTTATATCTTTTAAATAAATGATTTGCTTGTCGGAGACAGAAGAACTAATTTTGTCAGGCATATATCCACTTGTCTCATGTGATCTTCAAAAGGGGGCTTTGGTTGTGTGCTTAAATGAGTTGCTTTCTATTGAGGCATGAATATTTCTTGAAATGAATGGATTCTACTACGTCTGATAAACTGAATACAGAGGGTTCTGAATTCATTATTTACCATAAGGATTATGCAAAAAGACAGTAATTGCACTAGTTATAGGATTAGAAGGAATTGTATCTAACATGAAATCTTCTCTCTTTTAGCTTGTGTCGATCAAGACGAGGAATGATGGCGTTTTGGAAGGGGTTAGGCCACTGAATCTGGTCCTTAAAGATAATAATTCAGAAGGTGGAATTGTACAGTTTGGCTATTAGTGTTTTGAACAATTTAATGAATTATCATACTGCTAGTGTTACTGGACTTTATTCTTAATAGGAAATGATGTGATTTCTGATCAAATCTTATGGCATGCCTTTTGAGTGTGTGGAATATGCTTAATGTCTCTATCTTGACATTATGCGGTTTGGTTTGTTTGCACCAATTACAGGGTGGAGTGTCCCTGTTAGTAACCGGGAAATTTGCTATATTTATATCCTCTTTATGCAACTAACAAAGGGAGTTTTGTGCAACTATAACCAAATATTGGGGCAATCAACAAAGCCTCCTACCTCCTCACCTGTCACCTTCCATCTTTCGATAAGTAGTTTGTTTCAGAGGCAACATGCTTTGATAAGCTTAAAGCCCAAAATTGCAGAATGGAATAACTCTCATTTGCGAAAGAGAGGGAGAAATTGAGAAGAGATTTCAAGAGAAGAGTGTTCTTGCAGTGATTAGGCGGTGATTGATAGCAATTGCACACAATCTATACTCTTTAGAAGATAACAGTGCTTTTTTCTAATATCAGAAAACTTGGTCATCCACTGTCCTATCCGTTCGGACGCACTATGGTTAGGTTGTGTGCGGAAGGAAGTCTTGTGCTCTTTTTGTGAGATAAATTGTTTGCTAGACCAGACCAATAATCCCTGATAAACATACAGTGTACATGGATGGGGGGATTGAGATCCATACGCTGTATCTATTCACTTCTTATACGCAATGCAGTAAGGCTAAAAAGGTCAATATCTTCAGAGTTTTAGTCTATTTAAAAATTAGTACTTATTTTTTAATTTGTGTTTTGATTTCTTTGAACTTTATATATATATATATATATATATATATATATATATATTAGTCTATCATTAATATTTATCTGGAGTTTCTTGAAAAATTTGGGATCAGTTTGGGTGTTTTTTTTCTTTTTGATTTTCTATATTTTTAATAGTGAAAAAATAAAAAAATTTGATTCGTGATCTTGACAAATTCAGGATTTTTTTTCTAGAAAATAGATTAGGTTTTTTTTTCAATGTATGCAAAATTTCAAATTAAAATATCAAAGAATTGATTTTTTAAAAAATGAGAGGTGATAGCTGAAAATCATAAAATAAATTATTTTTAAAAAAAAAATTGGAGAAGTCAAAACACAAATTCAAAATTCAAAAACAGATTTTCAAATGAACTAAAATTTAGAAATATTTGGTCTTTTTAGCTATAATTTAACTATTACCTAATTTTTGAGTAAAATGGTGAATTAAAGGTTAGTTTGAAGTTCATTGTCAGTTATGAAAAAATGATTTTTAAATTATCATTTTAAAAAAATGAGAAAAATTTTCATGATATTTTTATAAATCGAAAGGGTAAAAAAACAACTTAAATTAATTTCTAAAAACCATACTAAGCATAATCTTCATAAAAGTTAACAAAACAAATCAAATCAAATCATTTTACAAAATTCCTATCAAAAACCGGTAGCGTGGAATTAGAGCAAATCCACGTTCCACATCGACCAGATTTGGATAAATCAAAATACAAGGTTTCGGGATGGAAAACACAACCCGCCCCACTCACGTTAAATCCTAGGGAAGTTTGTTGGACTTGCCAACTGTCGCTTTAATTTCGCACTAAACTAGCTCATGCTCAGTTAGGTTAGAATTTAACGCAGATGGGTCACCTTATAGAGCAAAATCTTCAGTCTTTTTAGCCTCATTGCCCTTACCTTGTTATTACTTACATAAAACAAAATAAATATATTAGACATATTATCGTGGGTGCTATTTTAAGAAATTTTCACTCTTATATATCATTATATTTTTATATATTTTTTTCTATTCTGTCAGTTTTGGAATGAAAATGTCCTTGTTTTGATTATTACCTTGTTGAGATTATTATTATTATTTTTTTTGGCGCTCTAAGGGACATTTTTTTCCTTGAAAAATAACAAAAGGATATACGAGAAATAATATCAATACATGAGAATTACAAATTCTTACAAAGATACTCTTATGAGGGAATACAAACATTATAAATAAATATATGCGGATAAATTAACCAAAAAAAAAATATATATATATATGGATTTCTCAAAAAAAATATACTCAAGAGAAGAAAGGATAGTTTACGGCCAAATGTAGAATTGTAGGTAGGTACAATGATTGGACTTCAAGCATAGCGTCAGTTTATGACAAACGCCTATGGAGATACTATGTGCAGTTTTTTGCTTGATTTTTTTCTATTTCCTCCAAAGAGCAAACATTATCTATTAGCGAGTTTCGTTTTTATTAGTGCTAGCAGGTGTGTGTACCCCACACACACAAACACACACATATATATATATATTATTTTAACTCATAAGTCATATCCACCTGAACACTCGAATTTAATTTTAAAATTTTTTATTGCTATCACCGTCCTTCCTTTTATTATTGTTATTTATTTTCTGTGTGAATCACATTATTTCATTTCTTTCATTATATTGTCATCTATCCCTAAACAACAAATTACTATTTCAAAAATAAATAAAAGAGGAAAAAATATTACGCTCAACTTGTTTTGTTGTCTTTTTTCTTTTTTTAGAATAGTCAACTTGTATTTGACATGTTGCTATAAAAAAGAAATAAACTATTTCCATCTTAAAAAGATTTTTCCATTTGTTTTTTTTATATTAAAAAGGTCATTAATTATTACGCAATATTAATAAATTTTATCCATATTTAAAAAAAAATTATAAAAATAACTTTTAACATTTAATAATAAAATGTTCTTAAGAAGTTAAGGACAAACCTAAAAATGCCTTTAAATATATAAATATTCTTAATTTTGTCTTCAAACAATTTTTTAAAATCAATTGTCTCTTAAATTTTATAAATTCTTAACCAAGTCTTTTCAAATCATCCAAATTATTATTACTTTTTTTTTTAAGAAACAATCTTACTGCGGGAGGAACCTATCATTTTCTTTTAATTAATTTTAACGATTGAGAATTAAAAATTATTTAAATATAAAATTTGGTTGCAGTTAAATTGATACTAACCCAACCTAATAATCAAGAGAGATTTTTAGGTTTGTCAAAAAAAAAAAAAAATTCCCCGTCTTCCATGTGCAAGAAGACGGTGGTCCAAACTAATGAAATAAATAGCCTCCCCGAACTCTCAACAAAACCCAAAATCACACTTTTCATTCCATCATCTCCTCTCTCGCTCTCATTCACTTCACATTTCCCCCTTCTCACACTTTCACCGCTAAAAAAACCATGGTGGTGCAGCACCCCATAGCAGAAGCCAACGAGCAAAGCCCATTTGGGACCCTTTCCGCCTCTGAATTCTACGCCAAACACCACGTAACCCACTCTTCCGACTCTATAACCAACTCACGGGGTTTCAAGCTCTTCACTCAATGGTGGACCCCACTTCCCCCAACGAAAGCAATTGGGTGCGTAGCCGTTGTCCACGGCTTCACCGGTGAATCCAGCTGGTTCGTCCAATCAACCTCAATTCTCTTTGCTAAAAGTGGGTTCGCAGTCTGCGCTATTGATCACCAAGGCCATGGCTTCTCTGATGGTCTGGACAACTTGATGTATCATATCCCAGATATCAACCCTGTTGTGGAAGATTGCATGCAGTATTTTAAGACATTCCGTGAGGCTCACGCGCCCAATTTGCCGGCTTTTTTGTACTCCGAATCGCTCGGCGGGGCAATAGCTTTGTACATTACGCTACGTCAGAAAGGCGCGTGGGATGGGTTGATTTTGAATGGGGCCATGTGTGGCATTAGTGCTAAGTTCAAGCCACCGTGGCCGTTGGAGCATTTGCTGTTTGTAGCTGCGGCAGTGGTACCCACTTGGCGAGTGGTTCCCACCCGAGGATCGTTACCTGAGGTGTCCTTTAAGGAGGGGTGGAAGCGGAAGTTGGCGTTAGCAAGCCCGAGGAGGGTGCCAATGCGGCCACGCGCGGCTACGGCACTCGAGCTTTTGAGAGTGTGTAAGGAACTTCAAGGGAGGTCTGAGGAGGTGGATGTGCCTTTACTGGTTGTGCATGGTGGGGAAGACGTCGTGTGTGACCCCGCCTGCGCCAAGGAGTTGTATGAACGCGCTGCGAGTACGGATAAAACGTTGAAGATTTTCCCTGGGATGGGGCATCAGCTGGTGGGTGAGTCCGAGGAGAATGTGAATTTGGTGTTTGGGGATATGGTTGAGTGGCTACAAAACCGTGCCGAACGCTACAAGAAGGATGGGGATGTGGCACACGCGGCTGCGAATGATGGTGGCCCGTAATGTAAACTATTTTTCTTTCAGATAATTTAATGCTGTGATATTTTAGCTCGGGTAGCCATAAATCATAAATCATGTCATGTAGGCTGTAGCAGCAGCAGCCAATAGGCAACTTGTAATGTTACATGAGTTGGGTGATGAAATTAATAAAGGAAAAGGAATGGCTAAAGAAATGATGGGACATTGCTTTGAAATTTGGATTTGCTGTGATTTTTAAAGGTTGTGATTGGCTAATTACTTTGGCTAATCATTCGGACATAATAAAACACAAATAACAGGACTAATCAATTGGAAACCAATACTTTTATCAGACTAATCAGCAAATTACCAGAGTTTCTTGGAATTTGAATGAACTCACAGCTTCCACATTTCTAGTCTTTAATGAGTTTATTAGATTCAAATTTTTCATAAATAATTCCATAATTGTAATAATCATTTTCAATTATTTAAGTATAGTTTAGGTTTTATAATAATCATTTTTAATTATTTAAATATAGTTTAGGTGATGTTTAGGATAACGGTAAAAAAAATAGAGATAAATTATTAAAATATTTATTATAAAAATAATTTTAAAAAATATTTAATGTATTTATAAATCGAAAAATCAAATATTAGTAGAAATAGAAAAAAATAATTAAATAATTAATGATAATTGATAAGTAATAATTAAAAATTAATTTGATATATTTTAAATAAAAAGAAGACAGAAAAAAATTGTTAAAATATATCGAGAGAAAGAGATGAGTAACGCAAGGTTAAGATAACTTACGAGAGAGAAGAAAAATGCTTTTCTCTTTTTTAACTTGAAAAACATTTTTTTTAAGAATATTTTATCAATTTCTGTTGGATTGAAAATTATTTTCTATTAATTTTTTCCTAAACATGAAACAAATATCGAAAACTGAGAAAAAATGGAAAAAACAAACACAGCCTAAAAGGCATATTTATTGCATTAAACTAGCCACGAAGGCCCCTGCCTGAATCGTAGGAATGGAAGGGAGAGACTGAGAGAGGGAGGGAGGGGGAGCTAAAGCTGCTTTGAGTGACAAGTGGAGAGACGAGGAGCAGAAACAGATGTAGACCATGTAAAGTCATAGAAATTCAGTTGGATCATCCACATTTTAGGGGAAAAAGTGGCAGAGACCGGGAGAGGAGATTTCTTTCTCTGATTTCATTAGAGCTTGGCATTTCTCTTGGTTCATTGCTTGCTACTAGAAAAATGGATGAGGTGTTTAGTAGGATGGGTGGTAGGGTTAAGTCCTCCACAACAGATTCCACTATCATGTCTATTCTGCGTTCTAAAATGGACAAGGCACATGAAGGAGTCCACTCCAAGGAAGGTGTTATTGCACGTTTACATGAGATATCAAAGTTTTACGAGCTGGCAGTGATGCAGTTAGAAGGGTGTCTGAAGTTTGTTGCTGAAGAAGCTGCTGACAGCAGTCTTGAAAGCAGTGATGAAGAGGCTCTAGGGGATTTGGCAGAAATTAAAGACCGTCTTGAAGGTCGGCTTAAAGAAACTGAGCTGGCCATATCAGAAAAGGATAGAGAGTTAAGTGAGAGGTTGGAAAATGAAATGAAGCTAAGGCAAGCATTGGAACTCAAAGAAAGAGAATTGGAAGCTTTACGCGCCAATCTGGAGCTTGAGACAAAAAAAACCGAGGGCATCGAGGAGCAGGTTCTTAGCAATCTGGTAATTGGAGATGGAAAAAGAGATGAAGGATTCTCTGATCTGAAGGATTCAGTAGACCAACAGGTGTGGAATATCAAACAACAACTTGACCCTGAAGATGAAGTTACTGAAGGGGGAGATATCATGGTTTTGAAAGCATGAAGATTGAGCTGATGAGCTCAGACATAGACATATTAAAAGAGACTATGGGTCTTGCTTTCGAAAAGATGCAGAATGCCATTTTCTTGTCGGAGTTGGAGCCAACTGAGCAACAGTTAGGGTGGACAATTGAGAAAGATGTAATCGTTATCTTGATCAAAGGTTTCATGGGGGATATCCAGGAGAATTTCACAGCAGAAGTAAGAAGTTGGCAGAAGCAAGTTTCCATAGGCTTGAGCAAGCGTTTGTCGGATTTGATGAAAGAGATAACGTGCTTGCAAGAGGAACTAGTACCTCTTAGTATGTCCCGAAGCAGTCGCGAGGGCAAGATCTCTTTGAAAATGAGAGGGAAGTCTTCATCAGAAGGAGACATTTCTAACATCCTTGATGATTTCAATGGAAGAGTTGGAAAAATAGACGAAACAAAGCAGCTTAGCATAGAGGATTCTGAAGAAGACACAGCGACCCATGTTACTAAGATGATAAAGAGTCATGAAACCATCATCAGGAGAAAAAGTGAAGAGCTTAAATCACAGAAACGAGAAATTCTTAAGGAAAAAGGGTGTTCCTACTCTAGGAGATCAGAAAAGGGTCCTGTTAGCCCAAGACAAAGGTTTCGAGATGTTACTGAAAAACTGGGAAATTTACTCCACTGGAGGGCAAACCTAGGTGAAACTTTTGGTTACCATGGAGTTGAAGATCACGAGGAAACTTCTTCAACGAAGAGGATGTGTAACTTTGATATGATAGAACAGGCAAAGTTTCATGAAATTGACGCTTCGGAGAAGGTGAATAGCATCTCAATTTCTCATGATGCAAATGAAGAGCTGCAGAATGAAATAAGAAAGCTGAAAATGGAGAAAGAAGATGCAAATTTGCAAAATGTGATAGTGGAAGACGTTTACATTACTCTTTTGGAAGGCTTAGTACATGAATGCTCCGCTGAGTTAAACAGTTATGATATTGCGATACCAGTAAGAGAAGGTATATCTGAACATATTTTGAAGGAAACGATCAATGAGTGGGATGCAAAAATCCAAGGTGATGAGATTGAAGATCAGATTACAGAGGAGATGTTTTATCTTGTCTCCAGAGAGGCACTGAAGGATTGTGGCTCTACTCTTGACTCTGTGTTAACTGAGTGCCGGGAAGCCAGAGCTGAAAGTAGTTGTTTGCAAGAACATAATTTAGAGGGAACACTTAGGGAGGAAATATTCATAACCTTCTTCGAAGAAATTTTCAAGGAATGGAATGAGGCTATAGAAAGGTATGATGGTGAAAGCATCGTTAGGGAAGATATGTATCAGATTGCCTTTGAAGAGACCATCAGAGATATGGCAGACACTGCAAATCACATAGGAAGCAAATTCAAAGAGATTGAATATCCAGAAAATAGCGTGGATTGGTTTCCTCAGGGTAATAGTTTTCTTGAGTACGTAGAACATTCAGTGAAGGAGGATGTCTTTATGGTTTTCCTTAAAGAAATGTCTACAGAGTGGAAGGCAGAGATAGATTCCTATGATTTTGAAAACCTCATTAGGGAAGACATTTTCCTACTAATTGTTATGGAGGCAATGGCAGAAGCACATACCATTTCTGGGGAAACTGAAGCACAGGATCACTTCAAAATATTGGAAGATTTCACCTCTGCTGATGAGTTACATAGAATTCTAGAGATTGGTAAAGAGAAGCATTTAATTCAAGAACAAGATTCACTACCAAAGCACGAAAATTTGAAATGTCGAGCAAATCCTGCAATGAAGAAATACAACACACCCCCTGACGTTGTGGCACTGAAACAAGAAGAACTGAACAAGCTTCAGCAAATGAGGGAATTGTCGACTGAGATAGATAGCACTTCAATTTCAGTTTGTAGCAAAGTTAAGAAAGCTTTGGAGCAGGTAGCTATGAGTAAAGGACTATTGAGAGAGTTAAGATCTAGTTTAGGTGTCGCTGTTGAAGATATAGAAAGCTTTGATGATCAGATTACTCCTACCATGCCATTTCTAAGTAACGTCCAGCCCTCCAGGTTGCAGCCAGAACAAAACGAGGAGGTCAAAGTAAACCTATCTAACTCTGATTTTACACCTATTCTGGAATTTTTGCAAGTATTTATGGACTTTAAGCAAAGAGTGGAAAAGAAATTAGTGTTGAACATTTTAAGGTACCTCTATTTTCCAATTGCTCTTCCCCCACTTCTTTAAGGTGTAATTTTTCAAAAACTCCTTTTCTTCCTCATCTATGATATTGCTTGAAAGGCACTGAAGAATATATTTTTCTAAACTGCGGTTATCATCTTATGCTGGCAGAGATGCGCCTGGATTCCGTGCCATTGCATCTGATCATGCTTGTTTCATTAGCTTTCTTGTGTTTGTTTTTCAAAAGAAAATGGCATAAATTGTTTAGTATGATCTTGTAGATAAGTTTAATTTTCCGCTAAGAAAATTCTTTGCTGTTTCTGACAGGGTGGAGGAAGCAATTCATTATCTGAATCCACTCGTTGAACTTGTTGCCTTGCAAAGAAGAGAGGATTGGCTTTATAAAAAGGGTTTCATAAGGCGATGCGAAAATCTCAGAACGGCTGAAACTGAGGTCCTGAGTTCATTGTTTGTTCTCATTTTTCCTAAAATGGACTTCATTCTGTGGAAGTTCACATAAAATAAAAGATCTTCCAGGAAATGTTACATTAGTTTCATCAAGAGATATTTTTTTTCCATATAATTGAACAGGTGGATCTGCTAGGTGATCAAGTGGATGTACTTTTAGGCCTACTTGAGAAGATATACAGGACACTACATCATTATTCACCTGCGTTGCAACAGTATTTTGAGGTGAGGCATTTTCTATCTTCTTGATCTTCTATATGATGCAGGTCTGTCATGCTTATTTTGTATTGCCAAAGTTCTGTTACATACAAAAACATTACACTCTTACATCTGAAAGTTTCTCCTGCTCACTGTCACTCCAATTATGTTCACTAGTTTCCTTGCCACATCAGTGTCTTGATTGGTAGAAGTGTTTCTTCTATATTGTGTGCAGGTCTCGGATATTTTGAAAATGATCGAGGAAGAATTAAATGGAGCCGTTCATGCTTCTGGTAAATGACATAAGGATCTCCATGTTTGTGAAGAAATCTTGTGCCTTTGCATCTCACTGAATTGTTTCTTCAAGGAGGTGATTGACTGATCATCAGGAAATGGAGAAACAAAGATCATATTCGTACAAAACTAGAGGCAAGAGCGTTTCAGAATTCATTACGAGGAGCAGTATTGGAGGTTTATTTATATTGGGGAAAAATCCATGGAAATATCCTGCAATTTTGAAGCCATATTATGGCAACCACTGAATATGCATGGTAAACTGCTAATGTAGAATTGCTACAATTTATTCCTTCCGCATACTGCACTAGTCGACTAGGCACGAATATCCTGTTTGAGTTTCCGAAATTTATATTAGTCCCTTACTCTTTTACACCGATTTTCTTACTCAAGGTATTTATTTTTGCAAATGTTATCCCTATTTTAAAAGTTGATTGCCTTAAGTGATATGAAGCAAAGTTAATAAAAGCAAAGGGTTCAAATCATCTTGCTTTGCTTATTTGTATTCTTTCATAATTGTAGAAGAAGAATTGAAATTGTTAAATCCTGGCTGCTCAGGTTTTACAAGTGAAGGAGTCGCATAAAACAAGAGCCAATGGTTTTTATATTCAGATAAAATGGCTTAAAAGAGTGGTCGCATTCTGCTTATCTGTACCAGATAGACAATGGGCTAAGACAAACTTCTTGCTTTGAATTTGCCATTACATTGATAGGACATCAAAATCAAGAATTTTCCTCTGGTCAATACAGGATCCTTCCCTGTCTGTATGTTGTGTCTCAAGAGTTTTTCAAAAAACTTAAAAGTCAGCAACAAGTACTCTTCTTTTTCTCTCCACTGTCCTCAGGTTTACACCTCACAATGGAGAAGTTGCAAAAGCTCTTTTCCTTCTCGAGGATAAACCAATTCTTCACGAGGCCATGCTTACCACCAACCAAGATTTTGAGAGTCTGAAAACTTTTGATGATAAAAATCCGCGAAAGCCAACACTTCTTGACGACAAAGGTGTGGTAGTTTTTGAATGACAAGAATTCTAGTGTTTTTCGTTAACAAGAATCAGCATGTGATGGTGGACTTCTATGCACCATGGTGCTACTAGAGCAAGCTTCTGGTCCCAAGTATTGAGGCAATACTTGCCAAGGTGGATGCTACTGCCGAAAAAATGTTGGCCAGAAGTATAATATTCTAGGATTTCCTAGTTTGTAATATTTTGTTGGTAGTATTCGTATGGACAATCATTGTTTTGAAAGGACCAGGTGAGTTTTTGGTTGGTTTGGTTTTTCTTAAGAACGTGTCATTGGATTTCTTGTTTTGCTTGATGATGTTGTTCAAGTGTCCACAGTCCATACCCCCTTACTTTGACTTCTTAACTCTTTTAAGTTATAAAAATTGCCATGGATAACTTTGTCTTGATGAAGCAGTGCTATTGCAATTTGGACCAAGAATTCGATGAAAGTTGGAAGTTAAGGAAAAAAAAGTTCTAAAAAGGTCAGATTATATGAATCATCTCCCCCTCACTTTGACTTTAGAGGCTAAAATAATATTGATAACAGTGCATACACATCACTTGAATATTCAATGGAAGAAATAATTTATTTCAAATAAAGATTCTTTACTTCAGACAGTTTAGTTTCAATCTGCAAATTAATGGATAGAATATATTTTTTCAGAATAAGCACTATTTTTTTAACCTTCACCGCCTTCAAAAGGGTTGGAATCAATAATTTAAGAGTAATAATCATATTGGTAAAAAACTTAGCAGTCTTGGTAGTTGAACATAATTTCTCCATTTCCAGAATGACAGGGTCTAGGTAGCCTTATATTGTCAACTCTTCTCCGAGGCAAAAACAAATTTCTCCATTTCCAGAATGACAGGGTCTAGGTAGCCTTATATTGTCAACTCTTCTCCGAGTCTTTTTGCCTTCTTCACTTCACATTCACATCTCTCTGCTTTTATCTAGAAACCATGTTTCAAACATGGATCAATCTCGTCTATCTCTTAGCATCAATCCTTCTTATCTTCACCGTCTTTTCCATTACACAATTCCCTCAACTTCCATTCTCTGAACAAAACAACGAAGTCAACAGCTACCTATACAATGATCTCTACATGACACCAGAACAAATCATCCAGCCAATGCCACCTACATATTTTAGAAATGAGAAATTTTTTTTTGATGAGAAGGATGTGGTGGCGCTGACACAGAAGAATTTTAGCGATTTTGTTGCTGCAAATCAGTATGTGATGTTGAATTTTTATGCACCATGGTGTGTTTGGAGTCAGAGGTTAGCACCAGAATACTCAGCTGCTGCTGCTATGCTAAAAGGTGAGGCTGTTTTTGCATACATAGATGCCACTGAGGGAAGAGAATGGAAGAAGATTTTCAAGATTAAGGAGTATCCTACAATGTATTTATTGATTAATGGAGGAGCTGAAAAGGTTATGTATGATTTTACTGATGAGAGGACTAGGTGAGTAAACCTCTTTGGTTGGATTGTAGTGTCCAAAACATGAATCTTGTTGGCCTTATATTATGTCTTAGAACATGGTTGTTTAAATTGCAGTGATGCTATTGCAACTTGGGTGAGGCAGAAAATGAGCCTTGTTGTCCAAAATGTGTCAACACTAGAGGAGGCTGAGAGAATATTGGCTGCAAGATCTGTCTTGGTTATGGGATTCTTCGACACTTTAGAGGTAATCCGAGCCTGCTTGATGATCTCTTCCATTTCTTTTCCTTGATGTACTAAGATTGTGTGGGTTGTTCGTAGGAAGAAAATTGTATCGAACACATTTATAAGACCAACTTTTCATTGATGCGAGATAAGCCCTAGATAAGTCAATTGATTATTCAAATTTGGGTCGATCAAAGTATGCTCCATTTAATGATTTGGAATCTGCGCAAGTTTTGCTGATTAAAATGGCATGAGTTGCATAGCTTAGAATCACAAGTTGCTCATAACTTTATTACATTGAACTCATAATGGAATTATTCTGGTTCGTTTGCTTGCTTGTTCTTGATTGTCTTGTAATGAAATTCGATTTTCTACAATGTTGACAGGGTTCTGATAGCAAAGAGCTTGCTGTGGTGGCGAAAGAGCAGATTGATGTGAACTTCTATCGAACTGCTGATGCTGAGGTAGCAAGGTTGTTCCAAATTGACCCACAGATCAAACGACCTGCATTGGTCATGCTGAAGCTGAAGTGGATGGCAACAAATCATAGCCATTTTGGTTTTGGTCAGTTCCAATTTATTGTTTGAAAGATAAAATTTACAAATCAGCTGACCTTGATTTACACACTCATCTTTCTTTTTTACAGATGGTCAGTTCACTGGATCAGAAATATCGAACTTTATATCCGAAAATAAACTTTCTTCAGTGATCACATTCACAGAAGAAGATGCTCCCAGTATTCTTAAGAATCCTATCAAACAGGTGAGACCTTATGTCAATATTATACTGATATTAGAAATTCAAGGAGTTCATGATTGCATAACATTTCTGTTTTATCTTTCTCAGTTGTGGCTTTTTGCTTCTTTATATCCAAAGGAGGTGCTAATCCCATTTGTAGAGGCAGCAGACCATTTCAAAGGGAAGGTAATCATAAATATTTGTACTTCCTCTAGTTTTGTGCTATGAAATTTTCTGTACTAGTAGTTATGTATGAAGCCAAAACATCATGCATTGCTGATCATGCCTTGCTTTTGTTTTGTATATCGAATTAATATGAACACATACCTGACATGGTTTTGTTGGGTTTGCTGTAGCTTCTCTTTGTCCATGTGGAAACTGCATATAATTGTATGCAAAGTCGAATTTCTTATGAATTTGGAATTGCTGAAGGTCTTCCAACAGTGAGTACCTCCAACTCCATCCCCTTCCACTTTCCCCAAAAACAAAAGAAAAAATGAATTAAAAATTATGGTAACGTCTTGTTTCCTTCATCCAATGACTTTCTTTATCATAGTAACATGAAATTCTGGACTATCTGTTGTCAATTCATCATGCAGCTTGTAGCGTATACGGCAAACGGTGCCAATAAGCATGTATATAACAGTGATCTGTCCTTCAGTGGTATCAAGGTACTTAATTTATGCTTCTTTCTAATCTACTGATGTGTCTTTGACGAAAAGTATAACCCTGATACTTATATGCTACTTTGTGTCTTTTGTGTTTGTGCAGGCATTTGCAGAGAAGTTTCTGGAAGACAAGCTTCCAAGCCAACTGTCTTCAACTCCAGATGAAGTACTTATCAGACTCCCATTCCGTACTCATAACTCTGGTCCAACTTCCACCGGATTGCCACTTTAGTCCGAATTACTGAATCTAAGCAATCACTTTGATGAAAAAGTAGTAAATAAATAGATGGTTTACTGTTCTGTAATAATAATTATACTCCATTATAGAAACAAGTTTGATGCGTTTGAGGTATTGCATGACCGCATATTCCCCTACTTTTGTTCTTCAAAGAGTAAGATACAGACAACCCTATACTGAGGAATGGCTGTTGATACTTTAGCTATATCGATCGCAACTTTTTGCAACAAAGGGAAGCTGCAAAATGGTACCTCAATTGATATCTCAATTCTCCCGGGAGGAAATGTAGTTTGCCTTTAGTGATCAGAAGCAAAGTGATTACATTGATATTTTCCTGCTCAAGGATATTTCTTTTGGAAAATGTTGTCATTATTTAAGTTTTTTGCCTTTAGTGATCTGAAGCAAAGTGATTACATTGTCGATAAAAGTAAAAGGATCAAATCATCTTGCTTTGCTTATTTTTATTGTGTCATAATCGCGGAAGAACCGAAGAAGAATTCAAATTATTAAATCCTGGCTGGACAGGTTTTTATATACAGACAAAATAGCTTAAAAAAGAAGTTGTCTCATTCTATTTATCGATACAAGATAGAAAGTAGGTTAAGACAAACTTCTTGCTTTGAAATTTCCGTTAAATAGAACATCAAAATCAACAGTTTTCTCTGGCCAATACAAGGATCCAACCCTGTCTGTGAAGTGTTGTGTGTGTCAAGAGTTCGTCAAAAAAAAAATGTCCACAACAAGTACTCTTCTATTTCTCTCCACTGTCTTTTGGTTTACACTTCTCAACGAAGATGGTGCAAAAGCTCGTTCCCTTCTTGAGGATAAACCAAATCTTTATGAGGCCATATTTACCACCAATCAAGATTTTGAGAGTCCGAAAAATTTTGATGATAAAAATCCTCGAAAGCCATTACTTTTTGACGAAAAAGATGTGGTAGTTTTGGGTGACAAGAATTTTAGTGATTTCGTTAACAAGAATCGGCATGTGATGGTGCAATTCTATGCAACATGGTGCTACTGGAGTCTTAAGTTGGCACCAGAATACTCTGCTGCTGCTACCCTATTGAAAGGTGAGGCTGTGCTTGCAAAAGTTGAAGCTACAGAAGAAAAGGAGTTGGTATCGAAGTATCAAATTCAGGGTTATCCTACTGTGCATTTATTTGTTGATGGAATTCTAAAGGATTCCTATTATGGTGAAAGGACCAGGTGAGATCCCTTTGTTTCTTTTTTGATATATTTGGAGGGTTCGGATCTACGACTCTCAACTTGCAGAACCCTTGGCCAATTTTTTGGTTCTCTAATTTCTGATAGATTTGAAAATTTGGGACCTTTTGTTTCAATATTTATCATATTGTCCATGTAGAGATGCTATTGCAACTTGGATGAGGCAGAAAACCGGCCTCGTGGTTCAAACTGTATCAACAACAGAGGGGGCTCAAGGGATATTGAGTACTAATTCTGTGATTGTAATGAGATTCCTCGACACTTCAAAGGTATTTAGTCCCTACTTAATCATTTTGTCATTTTCATCTGATGAATAACATTATTTGAGCTTCTCTTCCATGATGTTATCGGTCCAACTTATGATTGATTACAATTACATCACTCAGATTGATCGATTCCATTTGAATTTAAACTTTTGAACTTGATAACTTTATGGTGGATAAGTGCAAACATTGCTCATCTGCTCACATATTTAATCTTTTGGCATAATTTCCAAAAACATTGGCAGGGTCCAGATACTAAGGAGCTTGCTGCTGCTTCAAAACTGCAAGTTGATGTCAATTTCTATCAAATTGATAATGTTGATGTTGCGAGGTTTCTCGGCGTTGACCCACAAATCAAACGTCCGGCTTTAATCATGCTAAGAAGGGAAGTCGTAAAACATATCCATAGTGGTTTTGGTTAGTTTCATCATTTTGTAACCCAATAGATTGAGAAAATTCGAAGCTGCAAGTTGCTTGACCTTTGCTTGCTCTACTCTTTCTTTCCGCAGATGATGAAATCACCAGATCAGCAATATCTGACTTTGCATCGGTGAATAAACATCCTTTGGTGATCACTTTCACAGAAAAATACTCTTCACATATTTTTAAAAATTCTATGAAACAGGTGAGCACTTGGTCTATTTTCCTGATGATAGAAGTTCAGGAACTTGATGATTATTAACATGTCTATTTGTTCATTCTCAGTTGTGGCTTTTTGCCCCCAAAAATTCATTGAAGCTGATATCCACATTTGCAAAGGCAGCAAAAGCTTTCAGAGAAAAGGTAATCATTGTATTTTCTGTAAACTTTGCTAATAACACCTGCCAATTGGATCATCTTGTTGTATTCTAGAACTCAATTTGGTGGAAACCTAAATTGGCTTGTCTGGTCTGAAATTATTTTGTGTGAAATGTCAAATTATTTTGTTTGTCCGAATTCGGTTGAAGGAATAGTTCATGACATCATGGTAATATTGGAACCAAAAAAAAAATCCGACTATTGAATATTTATTTCTTTGGTACTTTGCTGGGTTTCTTGTAGCTTCTATTTGTCTATGTGGAAACTGATGATTTAGATGCTGGACTTGGAGCAAACCTTGCTTATCGATTTGAACTGCCTGAAGGTTCTCTAAGAGTGAGAACTCTCTAACCCACTCTTCTTTCTCCGAAAACGAAAAAAAAAGAAAAGAAAAGAAAAGAAAAAAAAACTATTTGTTTCATTTCTTCTAAGTTCTTTTTGAGTACCTAATGAGTTTTACTGCACTAATACTTCATCAAAATATTGTCAAAAATTTTCTTGATGTGATGTGTGCTTGTACAGATTGTAGCTTACATGGCTAATCGGGTTAAGTACCAATATCATGACGAGTTGACCTTTGGTGGTATTAAGGTAATTGAGTTACTTTTACTCAATTTATTCGTTTGGAGTCTTTAGCTGAACAATTAAACAAGAAGGATCATCAATTCATTACTCTACTTCTTCATATGTTTTTTTTTATACACTTTGGAAGATCTTTGATACATCTTCCATATTGTGGTGCAGTCATTTGCAGAAGAGTTTCTGGAAGATAAGATTTCATTTCCATCAGTTCCAAGTTCAAAGACAGTTCGTAAACTTCCGTCAGATTCTCAGAACTCTAATTTATCTTTCATTGCAAATGCCTAGTTATGGTTAAAACTGAACTGAAAGTAATAATTTGTATGAAATTGCTGTCAATAAATAGAATGATGCTCCTGTTGTGAGGATTATCTTACAGTGATCCTTGAGGTATGGATGTAATTCGTAAAAGTCTGCATTTGCAGGCTTTTGTATGCCCTCTTGTATCCCATTACATTAATTGCTGAAACAAGTACACTTTTTCAATGAAAATTCATACTGTGAACAGGCTGTTGAGATAGGAGCTATGTAACATTTTGGAAATCTAGGGGAGTCACAAAATGATATATACCCTCCATTGAACTTCCAATTCTCCATAAAACAAAAAAGAAAAGAATAGAATGAATCTTGATCAGGCTGACAGCGGGAACAAGGTAATGGTTTCAATCATCCAAGGTATTGCCTACGAAGATATATATATATTCCAAATATGTGCCTTCTCCAGTTTCTTGCAAGTCGTAACCAATTCTCCACGAGGCCATATTTACCACCAATCAAGATTTTGAGAGTCTGAAAACTTTTGGTGATAAAAATCCTCAAAAGCCATCACTTTTGGATGACAAAGATAGGTTAGTTTTGGTTGACAAGAATTTTAGTGATTTCGTTACCAAGAATCGGCATTTGATGGTGGATTTCTATTCAACATGGTGCCACTGAAGCAAGCTTTTGGCTCTCGAGTAGGCAGCTGCTGCAACCATGCTCAAGGGTGAGGCAACACTTGCCAAGGTGGATGCTACTGTGGAAAAAAGTTGGCCCAGAAGTATAACATCATAGCATTTCCTAGTTTGTACTTATTTGTTGATGGAGTTCGTATGGACAAGCATTATTTTGAAAAGACCAGGTGAGTTTTTGGTTGGTTTGGTTTGGTTTTCTTAAGAATGTGCGATTGGATTTCTTGTTTTGCTTGTAGATGTTGTCAAAGTGTCCAAAATTCATACCCTTCATAGTCTTCTTTAAATTTTAAAAAAAATTGCCATTGAAAACTTTCTTTGAGGAACTCTATTGCAATTTGGTGAAGAAAGAAGTTTTTAAAGAATGCATTATTATACACATACTAAAGAGAACAGGATTTTAATGACATTAATGTAGTAGACAAAACGGCGTAGTGTTATATCATTTTGTGTTAAAACTATGTCATTTTATCAAAAAAAAAAAAACTTTTTTTGAATATTTTGTGCAATTTATCTACCCTTTGATTCTTCACAAGTTTTGTTTCTGTACAAGAAAGTCCTTAAACGTAATTTGCATTACAACAAAGTGATTTTTTTTTTTTTTTAATTTTTTTATGGCTAGGCTGTGCTGTTAGCCCAGACATATGGCCCTTAGGCTCATCCCGACATGCCTCTTTTTTAAAAAAAAAAAAAAAAAATCTAATTTTGTATAAAATAGTCCCTAAACTTAATTTGTGTTACAACAAAGTTTCTCTGTTTTTTTTTTTTTTTTTTTTTTTAATGACTGTGCTGTGCTTTTTTCTCAATAGTTAATGATTACTTTTAATTTTTTAAAGGCTCACTAACTAAAATTAAACATTTTTTTTAATATAAATTAATTGAGCACCTTTTCTAATTTGATTTTTTAAAAAAATAAATCAATAATTATATATTTTTTTAATGGTCAAAATCATGCATATTCATAAGATATATTTAAACTTAATTATAGAATATATACATTTTATTAAATATTGTATAATGTATATTAAATTAAACAAATTCTTACCATTAATTTTAACTAATTTTTACATGTAAATTTTTTAAATTATTTAAGATATTAAAACATATTAAATAGATTTTTTTTTTTTTTTGCGATAACGTAAGGAAATTATGCTAATCGATTCTCAGTATAAACGATTTTGACTCAATCTCCGACTGAAAAACAAAAAAATAAAGATAAATAAGAAATTAGGATAATTATGAAACATCATCTCCTCACTGACCTTAAGGGTCTATAATGATTTTGATAACAGTGCCTACACACCAGTTGAATATTCAATGAACAAAAAAAAGGTGGAAAGATTCTTTACTTGAGAAAATTTAATTTCAAGCTTCAATTGAATAATATACATAAACCACAAGTTGACAGGATACTAATAAATAAGTATTAATTTAAAAATTAGATCTAAGATTCGATCCTTTTGATAAATATTTTTGAAAATTTATTTTTAAAATATTTGATGTTATGTATTAGAAAATGTCATTTAATCATGTTCAAAAAAAATTAGTGTTAAGATTCGTAAAAATTGATTCGAAAATATATTTTTTGTTGAAAAATTAACAATATGTATTTTTTTCAGAATAAGCAGTATTTTTTTTTAATTTTAATCGCCTTCAAAATTGTTCGAATAAAAAATTTAAAAGTAATAATCATAATAATAATAAAAAAGAAAAAAATTAGTAGTCTTGGTACGTAGAATATGATTTTTCTACTTCTAGGAACGCCGGGTCAAGCTAGCCTTATCTAGTCAACTCTTCTCTTAAGAAAAAAAGAAATGGCCTTTTTGCCTCCCTTTTCACTCCCCAAGCACATCTCTCTGCATTTCTCAAGGAACCATGCCAACAACAACAACAACAACAACTCTCGACTTTCTCTTCATTTCATTGCTTTTTGTGGTCGCCATTTTACAATTTACACCATTCTTTCATCTTCCTTCATCAATTCTTGTTAAATCTTTTTCATTCTTTAAACAAGTCAACGGATACAGTGATTTCAGCACGTCAGCAGAATTATCCATCTCAAGGCCAATGCGTTACGGAAATAGGAAACTTTTTTTGGTCAGAAGGATGTGGTAGTGCTGACACAGAAGAACTTTAGCGATTTTGTTGCTGCAAATCAGTATGTGATGTTGAATTTTTATTCCCCATGGTGTGTTTGGAGTCGGAAATTAGCACCAGAATTCTCAGATGCTGCTACTGCGCTAAAAGGTGAGGCTGTCTTTGCGTTCATAGATGCTACCGAGGAAACAGAATTGGGGAAGAGGCTCAAGATTAATAAGTATCCTACAATGTATTTATCGATTAATGGAGGAGTTCAAAACGTTACGTATGGTTGCGGTGATGAGAGGAGTCGGTGAGTGTTTGATTGCTCTTTTGTTTGATTTTAGTGTCCAAAACAAGAATCTTGTTGGTCTTTTATTGTTTCTTAAATCATGGTTGTTTAAATTACAGTGAAGCTATTGCAACTTGGGTGAGGCAGAAAATGAGCCCTGCTGTGCAAAATGTAACGACAATAGAGGAGGCTGAGAGAATATTGGCTGCAAGATCTGCCTTAGTTATGGGATTCTTTGACACTTTAGAGGTAATTCGTGCCTGCTCGATGATATCTTTCATTTCTTTTCTTTGATGTATTTAGAATATTGGAATTATTCTGGTTTGTTCATAAGGATAAGCTCCAATTGTGAGAAATTTTGTTTGTTTTCTCTTGTTTGCCTAATTGCCTTGTCATGAAATTCTATTTTGACAGGGTTCTGAGAGTGAGGAGCTTCCTGCGGTCGCAAAGCAGCATATTGATGTCAACTTCTATCAAACTGCTAATGCTGAGGTTGCAAGATTGTTTAAAATCGACCCACAAATCAAACTCCCTCGTTTGATCATGCTGAAGCGGAGTTGCATGACAAAAAATCATAGCCATTTTGGTTTTGGTCAGCTTCATCAATATAACTTCCAATATATGGTTCGAAGATCGAAATTTCCAGAGTAGTTTTGACTTGCCCACTAATCTTCTTTTGTACAGATGGTCAATTCACTGGATCAGAAATATCAAACTTCATATCCGAAACTAAACTTCCTTCGATGATCACATTCGCAGAAGAAGATGCTCCTGATATTCTTAAAAATCCTATGAAACAGGTAAGACCTTGTGTCAATAGTTTCCTGATATTATAAATTCAAGAACTCCATGATTGCATAACATTTCTGATAAATCTTTCTCAGTTGTGGCTTTTTGCTGCTACATATTCAGAGGTGCTAACCCCATTCGTAGAGGCGGCAGACCATTTCAAAGGGAAGGTAATCATAAATACTCGTGCTTTCTCTAGCTTTGTGTTATGAACACCTGGTCATCTGTAACTTTGCTGTCCTTGGATTCATTCTGGCAACAAAAATTAAAAAAATGATGTATTAGCTTGTCTAGTTTGAAATTTACTGGCATTTCATTGATTCTCTTAGTAGCTCATAGATTGATTTGTTTGTTTCATGCACAAATAGCATCATAGCTTCACTAATTTAGATTGGTTCATGGCTCGGTAATCTGACCTATATAGATGCAATCAGCAGTGAAGGTTTCCATTGACTTAGTTTTCTGTTACACATATATATGGCAGAAAAGGCTAAATATTATTGAATGATGGTTCATTTAAAATGGAATTGTTTGAAATTTTCTGTACTAAAAGCTATATATGAAGCCAAAACATCGTGCATTGTTGATTATGACAGGCTTTTGTTCTATTTATCGGATTAATATTAACATATACCTGACATGGTTTTGTTGGGCTTGCTGTAGCTTCTCTTTGTCCATGTCAAAACTGGATATAGTTCTATGCAAAGTCGAATTTCTGATGAATTTGGTATTACCGAAGGTCTTCCAACAGTGAGTTCCACCAACTTCAACCCCTTCCCTTTTCTCCAAAAACAAAAGGAAAAATGAAAAGTAAAAAAAGATTATGCTAAGGTCTTGTTTCCTTCATCCAAAAACCCTTTTTTTCCCTGATAGTAACATGAAATTCTGGATTCTATTGTCAATTTATCATTCAGCTTGTAGCGTATTTGGCGAACAGTACCGAGAAGCATGTATATAAGAGTGATTTGTCCTTCACCGGTATTAAGGTACTTGAATTATGTTTCCTTCTGATTTACTGATTTGTTAGCTGAAGTCTAAACAACACAAGAAGGGTGATCATCAAATGACTATGCCTTTGAAGAAATGTATAACCCCGATACTTATATACCACATTGCGTATTTTGCGTTTGTGTAGGCATTTGCAGAGCAGTTTCTGGAAGACAAGCTTCCAAGTCAACCATCTTCAAGTCGAGATGAAGTTATCAGACTCCCATTCTGTATCCATGGCTCCGGTCCAACTTCCACCGGATTGGCATTTTAGTCCTAATCACTGAATTATAGTAAATAACTTTGATGAAAATGTTTTAATTACTTAGTTGATTTACTGTTCTGTAATAATAATTATACTCCCAGCATAAAACAAAATTGATGCTTGTAAGACATTATATGACCTCATATTCCACTGCTTTTGTTCTTGAAAAAGGTGACGTACAGACCACCCAGATATGATTATGATGTGCTGAGAATTGGCTGTTGATACTGTAGTTATATGTATTGCAACTTTCTGCAATAAAGAGTACCTGAATTGAGTTCTCAATCCTCATAGGGGAAAAAAGTGTTGTAGAAAATATAAAACAAAAAGGATTTTTTTGTGTGTTTAATACTGGCAGTAGAGATGGTATTTATAAGCTAATGTAGGCTGGTTTGGTGAGAGAAAGGTGGAGAAAAATCTGAGAGCATTACCAAAACTGTCATAATGAACCTGTTCCATGGCAGCAAAAATAGGAGAAGCCAAAAAACTTAAATGGGTGAGCTAAAAAGGAGGAGGGTGGGCAAACGGGTCATTTTACCTTAGCTTGGCTCAATTCATTAGTGCGTTAACCCAATCCATCTTGCTTGCCTTTTACAAGTCTATGAAACGCTTTTCTTAATAAAGTGTTATCTCATGCCTCTTCTGTAGAGATAAAAGGTTTTGACAACCTCTTAAAATACTCTCAACAAAAAGTTCATTTATGAAGAAGAAGATAATCAAGTTACGTTATTCTCAAGTTACTGTAAAAACCAGTTCATGTCAAGCAATAATGCTCAAGCCTGTCAAGACTCTAGAGTCAACGCCCTCCCTAATTCCTATTATCTCCCTGTTTCCTCTTCCATTTTCAGGGATTAGTTAATATATTATACTAGTCAACAACTGCACCTCACCCTTCACTTGTGTGTGGATTCTCACAAAAATGTCAAGAAACGCAAGAATTCCTCTCTTTCTTTTCACTTCAATCCTTCTTCTCTTCACCATTTTCTGGTTTACACTTGTCTCCCATCTTCCGTCACCAATTTCTGCAAAAGTTTTTACGTTCTCTAAACACCAGGAACACGACCATGATGTCAGTTATGTCAAGGATTCTAAAAATCAAGAGAATAGCTCTTGGCCAGAGAATCCAGTGGTTGATGAAACGGATGTGGTGGTGCTCACAGATAAGAACTTCACTTATTTCATTTCTACACATAATTATGTGATGGTGGAGTTCTATGCATCATGTTGCTAGTGGAGTCATAAGTTGGCACCAGAATACTCTGCTGCTGCTACCCTATTGAAAGGTGAGACTGCTTGCAAAACTTGAAGCTACAGAAGGAAAGGAGTTGGGAAGGAAGTATCAAATTGTGGGGTATCCTACCTTGCATTTATTTGTTAATAGAATTCCACAGGTTTTCGATGAAAATTCATACTGCGAACAAGCTGTTGAGATGGGAGCCGTGCAACGTTTGGCAATTTAGGGGAGCCACAAAATAATACCCTCCATTGAACTCCCAATTCTCCATAAAACAAGAAATGAATGAATCTTGATCCGGCTGACAGCGGGAACAATGGTTTCAATCATCTCAGGCATTGCCTACAAAGGTTTTTTTCTTTTTTTTTCTTTTTTAATATGGATATGTGGCCTGATACACATGATAATAAAATCTTTGAGACCAATCCATTCATCTGGAAGAAAGCCTACATCATTGCTTTTATTCTTCTACTTCTTGAGGTATTGTATGACCTCTTATTCCACTACTTGTGTTCTTGACAGAGGTAACATATAGACAATCCAGATACGAGTCATAACTTGGCTGTTGATCCTGTAGTCATATGTATTGCAACTTTTTGCAACAAAGGGAAGCTGGAAAATGGTTCCTCGATTGAGTTCTCAATTCTCACCTGCTAAAACTGAATGATTAACAAATTGAAGCACAGCCAATTTCTTATAACAAAGCCTCGTATGTGCCTTCTCCAGTTTCTTGTGAGTCATAGCTTGGTTTAAAATTAATATCCACTGCAAGCATAAGATATGAAGAACCAAGGGGGAAAAGTTGATCTATCAACAAGTAGATGATCGAGTCATATTAAGTCACTGTAAAACCAGTTCATGTGAAGTAATTATAATGCTTAAGCCATAACTATTTGTTTTTAAATTTTTTAGGTAAATTCATTTATTCGTTTCATGAATTACCTGTCAAAGCTCTAAGTCAACGCCCTCTCTATTTCCTCCCTCTGTCCTGCTTCCATTTTCAGGGTCCAGTCAATATAATATTATAGTCAACTCTCTCCTCATCATTCACTTCTGTGTGGATTTCTCAACAACAATGTCAAGAACCGCAAGAATTCCTCTCTTTTTCTTCACTTCAACCCTTCTCTTCTACCATTTTCTGGTTTACGACAGTCTCCCTTCTTCCATCAATCCTTGCAAAAGCTTTTGCATTCCTTCACACGAGGAACACAACTTCATCTGTGAAACTAACACCTACAAAGACGTCCATAATGCCAAGGATTCTGAGAATCAAGATAATAACTCTTGGCCAGAGAATCCAGTGGTTGATGAGAAGGATGTGGTGGTGCTCACAGAGAAGAACTTAAGTGATTTCATTGCTACAAATCAGTACGTGATGGTGAATTTTTATGCATCCCGGTGCTTTTGGAGTCGCAAGTTAGTTCCTTCATACTCTGCTGCTGCTACCATGTTAAAGGGTGACGCTGTGCTTGCAAAAGTTGAAGCTACAGAAAAGTTGGCAATGAAGTATGACATCAATAGGTCCCCTACTGTGTATTTATTTGTTGGTGGAGTTCAAAGGGTTTCCTATTATGGTGAAAGAACAAGGTGAGATCCATTCTGTTTTCATATATTCGCAGGCATTTGAATCTTTGCACCCCAACTCACAAAACCTTAGCCTTGATTTCAACTACTGGATCAATGCCTTATTGGCAAGCTTTTTGGTTCTTTAATTGCTGATAAAATGGGACTTCCTCAATATTCATGAAAACATCTTCTGTTGTTTTCTGCTTTAATTTTCTTTTTATTGCCGCAGAGATGCTATTGCAACTTGGATGAGGCAGAAAATGGGCCTGGTTGTTCCAACTGTAACAACAGCAGAGGAGGCTGAAAGGATTTTGGGTGCTAGTTCTGTGATTGTAATGGGATTCCTTGAAACTTTAGAGGTATTTGGTCCCTACATGATTATTTGTCCTTTCTTATTTGAGGAATATTATTCTTTCAATTTCCTTTCCATGATGTTTTCAGTCCCTACTCATAATGATAAATGCCATTTTACCTTTAAAAGTTTAAACTTAAAAAACTTTATTTTGGAAAAGTGAAAATATTTGTCTTTATTTCTGGATCATTCAGTTATTTGGGGTTATTTCCTATGAACTTCGGCAGGGTCCAGACACTGAGGAGCTTGCCGCTGCCTCGAAGCGGCATGCTGATGTCTGATGTCAATGTCTATCAAACTGATGATGTTGAAGTTGCGAGGTTGTTTCGCATTGACCCACAAATCAAACGACCGGCTTTAGTCCTGCTAAAATGGGAAGTTGCCAAGCTTAACCGTGTTGGTTTTGGTTAGTTTCATCAATATGTGACTCTATGGTTTGGGGAAATTCCAAGTTGCTTGACCTTTACTTACTGATTCACTCTTCTTTCGCAGATGATCAATTCACCAGATCACTAATATCTGACTTTGTATCGGAGAATAAACTTCCTTCGGTGATCACTTTCACGGCAGAAGATGCTTCGCGTATTTTTAGCAATCCTATGAAACAGGTAAGTCCTTAAGTTCATTTTCCTGATAATAAAAATTCAGGAACTTCCTGATTATTTAACATATCTCTTTGTTCATTTTCAGTTGTGGCTTTTTGCCACAAAATATTCATTGGAGCTGCTATCCGCATTTGAAGAGGCAGCAAAAGCTTTCGGAGAAAAGGTAGTCATTGTATTTGCTATATACTTCTGCTAAGAACACCTGGTAGTTGGGTTATTTTGTTGTACTCTAGAACTCAGTTTTGTGAAAACTGATTTGGGCTTGTCTAAATTCTACATGCATTATTAGTTAGGAGTAAGGCTACATCAACAGAAAAGTTAGACCAAAAAACCAATAAGTTATTTCTGCAAAACAGGAAGATTGGATAAATTACATGGCTTGGTTTGTGCAAACGTCAAATTATTTTGCCTGTCCGAATTTCGGTTGATGGAGTAGTTACATGACCACATGGTGATATTGGAACGCAAAAAAAAATAATAATAATAATAAAATAAAATCCTACAATTGAATATCGATATGTCTTAGCTTCTTTGCTGGTTTCTGTAGCTTCTATTTGTCTATGTCGAAACTGATGATGAGGTATTTGGACTTGGAGAAAAAATTGCTGATGCATTTCGAGTGCCTCAAGGTTTTCCAAGAGTGAGTACTCCCTACACCACTCCTCTTATTTCTACAATACCAGAAAAAAGAAAAGGCAGAAAAATGAAAAGTATTTGTTTCATTTCTTCTAAATTCCATTTGTGTATCTAATTAATGAGCTCTATTGGACAAAATCAAAATATTCTAAAAATTTCTGGATATGATGCGTGTTCATGCAGGTTGTAGCTTACGTGGCTAATGGTGATGCAAAGTATATGTATGATGGTGAATTGAACTTTGCTGGTATTAAGGTACTTGAGTTACCTTTTACTGGATTTTTCCTTAATAATTTTTAGCTGAAGGATCATCACTCAACTTGTTAATATGTTTTTCCTGTGCACTCTGGAAGATCTTTGATACATCTTCTATATTGTGATGCAGTCATTTGCAGAAGAGTTTCTGGAAGATAAGCTTTCAATTTAATCAGTTCCAACTTCAAAGACACTTCTTCCACTTCCATCAGATTCTCATACCTCTAATCTATCTTTGATTCCAAATGCATAGTGTGGTTAAAACTGAATTGTAGCTGGGCAATAATTTGTATTAAATACAATGATGCTTCTCTTGTGAGAATTATCTTACAGTCATACTCGAGGTATGGAAGTAACCAGTTCAGAGAGAAGGCTGGTGAAACCCATTCAGACCATCCGACTGCCAAACTTACCTTCACTTATATTCGTTTCGAATAGTAAAATATGTTTAAAGCAGTGATAAGCAATGAAATGATAAGAGGTCGATCGAAATTAAGAAATATTTTTATTTTTTTAATTTTAATTTGAATATTTATGTGTTTTGTATGTATTAAAATGAGTTTTGAGGTTTTAAATAAGTTTTTTTTTGATATTATTTATGTGATTTTGAGGTGTTTTTTAAGGGGGAAAAAAAGAAAGATAAAATAGGTTTTGTGAGGCCAAAGACTGAGAAACCCAACTTTCGAAAGACTTTTTCGACAAGATCCAACTAGTCTGAAATTGCAGCACTGGAAAAAGAACAGTCAATTTCTTTTTTCCTGCCAGGCATGCACGGGCCAGTTGCTCTAGGCCCAGGCCTGCGGGCCCCGTCCTTGCTTTTTTTTTTTCTTTCTTCAAATTTTTTAAGAGTTTTTAAACAAAAATTATAAAAAATTGAACTTTATTATTTATATTTTTCACATAACATAACGAGTGTATATATATATATATATATATATATATTACTTTTGCGATTTAAAAATTTTTATTTGAATTTTTTATTTTTTTATGAAAATTTTCATCTAATTAATATTTTTTATATAAAATTTTATTTATTAATAAATATGATTAATTTTTCTCTAAATTTAAATTTAAAAATAAAATTTTAAAATATTGTTGTTTTTTTAGATTTTTTAAATGATAATTGCATATATAATTATTTTAATCTAAAAAATTAAAAATATATTTTAAACATTTTATTTTCATTCACTAGGTATGGCTAAGTAATATAAAAAAAACTATTGAATTATCGATTTTATTAAAAATTAATTATATATCTTCACATATAACGTTAATTATTTGTTTTGATTTTCTTTCTTAAACATTATAGAACCAATTTCTTTGAAATAAAAATAATTTTTAAAGAAACCAACTAATTTATTTTTTATATTAACATTATATATATATATATATATATATATCAAATGTAAGAATATCTTTCTCATCAGCATTTTTCAATATAAATATTTTTTTATTAGTTAATTTTTATATAAATCTATACATTAATTAAATGTAATTTTATTTTTTTAATGCATTCTTATGAAAAATATTTTTTATTCTTGATTAATATTCTAGTTTAAATTATTATAAGTTTTTATTTAAGAATAAATGTATATAGAAAAATAAATTATGTTTTTAAGTAAAAAAATTATGAGAAACATAAAAACAAATTAATTAAATAAAAATTATAAAATTTTCAAGTAATTTTATTCTGTCCGGCCTAACCAGCTAGTAAACGCTGAGTTAAAATAAGTTGATCTATCAAGAAGAAGATAATCAAGTCACATCAATCTCAAGTCACTGTAAAAGCCAGTTCCTGTGAAGTATAATGCTCAAGCCTTTACCATTTCTTTTTAAATTTTTTAGCTTCGAAAAACATTTTAGTCATTTCATGAATCACACCGGTCAAGACTCTATCTAGAGTCGATGTAGTCAACGCCCTCCCCGTTTCCTCCTCCTTTTTCAATATATTATAGACATCTCTCACCTCATCATTTCCTTCCGTGTGGATTTATCAACAACGATGTCAAGAACTGCAAGAATTGCTCTCTTTCTCTTCACTACAATCCTTCTTCTCTTCACCATTTTCTGGTTTTCACCTGTCTCCCATCTTCCATCATCACTTCTTGCAAAAGTTCCTTCATTCTTTGAACACCAGGAAGACAACTGCAACTGCATCTTTAAAACCGTCACCTACAAAGATGGCTATTACGTCAAGGATTCTGAGAATCAAGGGAATAGCTCTGGGCCAGAGAATCCTGTGGTTGATGAAAAGGATGTGGTGGTGCTGACAGAGAAGAATTTCAGTGATTTCATTACCAGAAATCAGTATGTGATGGTGGAGTTTTATGCATCATGGTGCTTTTGGAGTCGTAAGTTAGTTCCCGAATACTCTGCTGCTGCTACCATGTTAAAGGGTGAGGCTGTGCTGGCAAAAGTTGAAGCTACAGAAGAAAACGAGTTGGCAAGGAATTATAAGATTCAGGGGTATCCTACTCTCTATTTATTTGATGGTGGAGTTCAAAAGGCTTCCTATTATGGTGAAAGGACCAGGTGAGGTCCATTTTTTGTTTTCAATCAGTTTTTGGAGGGATTTGAATCTTTGCTCTCCAACGTGCAGAATATCGATGCCTCATTTGGCTAGCTTCTTGGTTCCTCAATATTTATGATAATGTCTTCCGTTGGTTTTGCTTTAATTTTCTTTTTATTGCCTAGAAATGCTATTGCAACTTGGATGAGGCAGAAAATGGCTGTGTTTGTTCAAACTGTAACAACAGCAGAGGAGGCTGAAAGGATATTGGGCACTAATTCTGTGATTGTCATGGGATTCCTTGACACTTTAGAGGTATTTAGTCCCTACTTGATTATATGTTCGTTTTCATTTGATAAAAAATATTCTTTCAATTTCCTTTTCATGATGTTTTCGCTCCTAGTCATATACCTTTGCACTTAATGAATGTTAATTAAGGAAGCTCATAATTACAGCACTCAGTTGATTGATTCCATTTCAGCTTTAAAAGTCTAAACTTGACAAATTTATGGTGTAAAAGTGAAAACATGGCTCGTTGTTATTGATTATTCAGTAATTTGGGGTTTTTTCCTACGACATTAGCAGGGTCAAGATACTGAGGAGCTTGCTGCTGCTTCAAAACTGCATCCTGATGTCAATTTTTATCAAACTGATGATGCTGATGTAGCAAGGTTGTTCCGCATTGACCAGCATATCAAACGTCCTGCTTTAGTCCTGCTAAAATGGGAGGTTGCAAACCGTAGCCATGTTGGTTTTGGTTAGTTTCATCCATTTGTGACTCAACAGTTTGGGGAATTCAAAGTTACAAGTTGCTTGACCTTTACTTACCGTTTCTACTCTTCTTTCTGCAGATGGTCAATTCACCAGATCAGCAATGTCTTGACTTTGTTTCCTTGAATAAATTTCATGCTGTGATCACTTTCACGGTAGAAGATGCTGCACATATTTTAGGCAATCCTATGAAACAGGTAAGTCCTTGAGCCTGTTTTCCTGATGATAGAAATTCAAGAACTTTATGATTATATAACATGTCTGTTTGTTCCCTCTCAGTTGTGGCTTTTTGCAACAAAATATTCCCTGGAGATAATCTCCACATTTGAAGAGGCAGCAAAAGCTTTCAGAGACAAGGTAGTCATTCTATTGTCTATATACTTCTTCTAAGAACACCTGGTAATTGGATTATATTGTTGTATTCTAGAACTCAATTCGGTGAAAGCTCCAGTAGGCTTGTCTAATCTGAAGTTATGTATGTATTATAGTTTGAATAAGGCTGGACCAATAGAAAAGTAATACTGAAAAACAAGAATATTATTTCTGCGAACAGGAAGATTGATACATTACCATGGCTTAGCTTGTGTGAAATGTCAAATTTGTTTGCCCGTCTGAATTTCGGTTGAAGGAGTAGTTACATGACATAATGGTAATATCGGAACCAAAAAAAAAAATATATCCTACTATTGAATATTGATATGTCTTTGGTTCTTTGCTTGGTTTCTTGTAGCTTCTGTTTGTCTATGTGGAAACTGATGATTTAGATGCTGGACTTGGAGCAAATCTTGCTTATCAATTTGGAGTGCCGGAAGGTTCTCCAAGAGTGAGTACTCCCTAACCCACTCCTCTTCTTTCTCCGAAAACAGAAAAATGAAAGGAAAAAGAGAAACTCTGTTTCATTTCTTCTTAGTTCTTTTTGTGTACCTAGTGAGTTTTATTGCACTAACACTTCATCAAAATATCGTCAAAAATTTTCTTGATGCATGTGTGCTTGTGCAGGTTGTAGCTTACATGGCTAATGGAGATAAGTATATATATCGTGATGAATTGACCTTTGGTGGTATTAAGGTAATTCATTTACTTTTACTCAATTTATTCTTATGAGTTTTAGGATCATCAGTTCATCACTCTACTTCTTAATATGTTTTTCCTGTGCACTTTGGAAGATCTTTGATACGTCTTCTATATTGTGGTGCAGTCATTTGCAGAAGAGTTTCTGGAAGATAAGCTTTCAATTCAATCAGTTCCAACTTCAGAGACAGTTATTCAACTTCCATCAGATTCTCATAACCCTAATCCATCTTTGATTCCACATGCTTAGTATATCTGAATTTTAAGCAATATCTTTTTATGTAATTGTCGTCATCAAGTAGAATAATCTTACAGTCATACTCGAGGTATGATTGAATGTAATTTAGTAAAAGCCTGTATTTTGAGGCCACTAGATGCCCTCTGGTATTGCATTACTTTCATTGTTGAAACAAGTAAAACAGAAATGAAACTTGATATTGTGAACAGGCTGTTGAGATATATAATAGTTGTAATACATTTTGGCAATTTTGGGGAGCCAAAAATTGACACCCTCCATAAAACTCCTAATTCTTCAAAGAGAAACTGGAATGAATGAAAAGATTCTTAAAGTCAAACTTTGTCCTTTGATCATACAACAAATCGCTTGTTGAATGCTGGACCATGATGTATTTACTGATAAACGATTCATGTGTTTGTTAATGTATAGACTCCTATAGAAACCAGAGAACCAGGAGTTACTTAGAAACCTGAAGAGGGGTTACTTCGTTAGAGTTGTGACGACAATTACAGCATTTTCTGTTTGGAAGTGCCTCTGGAAAGTACATGCCGGCAGATTCAAAGTTTCCATTTTATATTCTCTGGCTGATAAATACAATAATCATACCTTTTGCCCTACCTGTTTCCTAAATGCCAACTTTTTACTTGTTTTCTTGTAAGAAATTTCCTGCAATTTGTTATTTTGAAACTTCCATGTAAACTCCATTATGATACCTTTCTCTTGAACCATTTTCAACTTTGTGCATATATAAATACCCTAGCATCCTGATCACTTGAACGCACTTCAGCCTTCCAGTTCTCAACTCTCATGGCAATCCAAACCTGTGTTTCATCCTTCTCCTGTGTCTTCTCCTCGCAAATCTAAGCACCTCTCCGCTGGCGCCTGTTTCACAAGCCTCTCCTGATGTCCGACTGCAAAAAGGCACTTCAGTTAGACTCGATACACGACAGACGGCAGGAATAGTCATCTGAACACTAGTAGGAGGTGGCCTGATATTGTCTTGTGCAATGGTGTGCAAGAAACGTCGCTCTAACATTAAAAGAGCTCGATTTGGAAATCCACCAAGAAGACCAGCTCTATAAGATTCCCAAGTCCTGCCATTTTGTGGACGTCTTGTTATAATTGAAGAATTTTTGTTTTGGAGAGAAGATTAGGATCCAAACATCCTGTTTACGAATGAAATTTTCTATTTTTTCAAGTTAGTATGTCATTTTGATTGTTAATCTTGAAAGATTCTAGCACTGAATCGGAAATTATTACCAAGAATTTCTTCTAGCATGCCTAAACCATATTAAATTATATACCATGAGCTCAGTGCCTGATAATGCATGGACAGATTAGCTTGTGATGTAGCAACCTGCCACATCATTTGACTAAAATTAATACGATATATTTAGTAATTTTAGACTTTATTAATAGCCAAAAGAAATAGAGGCGGTCTTTGGATGAATCATACAACTGGATAGGAGGACTTAACCCCAAATCAAGAATGTTCTTTAAATCATTAATTTCCTATATTGCTGCAATTTTCATGTCAAATTAGAAAACAATGCTACCGTCAGATCCTTTTTCACCACCTACGCATCAACATTTCCATTGAATGTCATTTCATAACACGCCAGTAGATCCCTCTTTAAGGCACAACAAATTCTGGTTTGATCTGATCGCAATGGCAGTGCCACCAATTAGGCTAAGAACCCCTGAAGTCTGCAGAGAGGCTGTTGTTCTTTCAATGGAGATAACGATCCTTCTTGGCGGTGCTTTGCTTTTCTATACAATTCTTCTCGTTCTACAACAAATCTTTTCTTACACTGGGGTGATATTGCTTTCGATAGGAGCGATTTTTCTATTGACACAGGATCACAGTAGCAATAGCAGCCTGCCTATCACTACCGCGCACAAGCTGATGGAAATTAGCAAGCAACTATGCCACATTGTCGTGTCTACCACGAATAAATTACGTGAGGAGCCTATTACAAATTGCCCTCGTTTGGAGCCAAGATGCTCGGGGAATGTGGCTATATGGACGAGCTACGTAGCTTATGCCGGTCTTCTGATTCAAGTATTTTTAAGATATCCTATATCATTAGACACATTTTTTGCAGGTGGGTTCATTGCCATTGCTGTTTGTGCAAACCATACATTTTTGTTTTCATGCATTTGGGATTCAATAGAGAGGAAGTGTCTTCGTCAAAATGTTGATCAGGCTGACAGCAGGAACAAGGTAATGGTTTCGGTCGTCTCACGCTGTCTTTAAGAGATTTTTTTGATAAATATGATGACCAGGTAGTTCAGTATTGGTTTAAAGGTAAAATTCGGAGGATCAAAGTGCCCTTTGTTGGTGAAACATTTAAATGTTTTTCAATTCCTTGATGTTTGTTTGTTAGTATAATTCTGATGAGGATTCAGGATCGCACAATATCTTTAAACTTGCATGAGATACCCTCTATTTGTGTTCTTCCAGAGACCATTCGTTTTTAATTAATTATTATTATTATTATCATTATGTTTATTTTGTTTTTATGAGTAGGTTGATGAATATGAACTAAAGGAAGCTCAAGCTAAATATGATGAAGATCGACAAAAGTGGGAGGAGGAGAAGAAAGATCTTACAGAACAGCTTCACAGGGCAAACTCAAAACTTAGCGAAAAGGCGAAAGCTTATAGTATGTTTGGAAATGTTAACTGGGATTAGGAAGGGAAGGGAAGGGAATCAGGGTTCAATGAGCAGGGAACATTTTTCCTACTTACTTTTGCTTGGACTGTTCAGCATTCTAATTTTGACAGGATATACAGTCATTTGGCAAGCAAGTTTTGAGAGTTTGCAATTTTCAAAAACACCTAGTCCTAGGCTGATTTTTTGTCATGCAATGGGATTGTGCTGTGTTCTAATGAAAACATTGACCAATTATAGAAAATTTCTTCAATTCCAAAATATAATCAAAAGTTTTTGTTTCTTCTCTACCAACATTTCCTTTTTTCATGTTCAAAAAAACAAAAATCACTAAATGATCTAAAATATGATCTTAAACAAGAACTGTCCTTAATAGTCAATCTAACAGACTGCAGAGGACTAAATATGTAATTACAACATAAAAGTGTAATTCTTGTCGTTGCCAAATAATGTCGTGTTGGATTCCCGTTACTAAAACATTTGGGGTGATTGACTGCAGTTCTACTGCAGCACTAGATTCATGTCCATGTGGACTTAAAAGCATGGCATTTTTGTAATTTTTGCATTAGTTTCAAGAAATTGTATGCTAATTATATCAGATTTTGCAATTGTTCGCTGATGTTTCTAAATTTTAGAATGTGATTTTTTAAAAATAAATTTATATAATGAATTCTTATAATTTTTACTTTTTAAATGAGAGCAATATATATATTTCAAAATTATTATAAATTTGATTTTGATAAATTTTGATCATATGAAAAAAAAAAAAAAGAACACACGTAAAATCTATTGTTTAATTGAATTTTTTTTTAATTCGAGTCAAAATAGTTTTGAAATATAATCAAAATTTATTTTGTAATAGTTTTGAAATATATATATATTTTTTGTTTTATATCGCACATTCTAAACTCATTAAATATATTCGTTATATATATATACATACAAACTATTTATTATTATTATTATTTTGAATATTTTAAAATTAGTTTCTTGTAAATAAAATAATTAAACGAATATTTTAAAAGAAACTCTCGGTGATTCAAATGCATTTTTCAATGTTATTTTATTGATTTCATTAAACTAATTATAGCTTCTTCTTCTTCTTTTTATACAGTCTTATGGAAAAGATATGAAGGTTTTTTCTTTTAAAAAAATGGGTTTAATTTTCTACTTAGATTGTTACATGTATTTATTTAATAATCAATGCATATAAAAAAACAAATCATATTTTTTTTAGTTGAAAATTCATGAAAAACTCACAAAAAAAAATCAATTAAATACAAGATTCTGATTTAAAAAGTTATTAAATTTGGTTTTTTTATTTTTCTTTGATTCGATGTATTTTAAACTTAAGATTGAGTTTCTTTTCTTTATTTTTATAATAACAAAATTAACAATAAAATAATAAAATAATGATTATATATATGTCTACATGGCACTAAGTATTTATATTGAGAAATAATTTTAATAAAAACTTGATTTGAAAATAAAGATTTAAAAATGTTATATTTGAAAAAAAAAAAATACTCTGCAGACATGGCACCACAAGAGAACCCAATACCTGATCGAACTACTCAAAATATGTTATAAATATAGTTCAGAAAAGAAAGTGGCAAGAATCCCTATGTAAACACACTTCTTATGATTAAGCAAATTGACATAGATGCCAATTCTGGACCGTAAAGGTATCGAGACGAGATTTTCCTGATCCCAAAATCACTATGCCCTCTGAGAAATCCAAACTATGGCAATCACTTGTCATCAAAAAGCCCACAAAGAATGGGTATGTGATGGATAGTTTGTAGGCCACTACAAGATCAGATGCTTTCATTTTAAATGGTCCATGAACTTTCTTGTCGGTCCAAGACTCCTGCCAAAGATTTGTTTTGACTTTTAGATTTGGCCCTTTCTCTTTTCTAGCAGGCTCCGTGATTTTTTTCTTTTTCAATCACGTACGTAAATTTTAAATCTTTTCATTTGAGTATGTTTATTTTTTAAAAATTGTCAATTATTTATTTTTTTGCAAAATTTATGTCAATCGCTTCAATATATAATGACGTATTATTTACTTTAAAATGCTAAATTATGATTTTAACCTTTCATTCACAGAGAAAACTTTTTTTTGCCAACATTATTCTACTATCTTTTATGTTTTGAATATAAGGATAATTTTAGTATTTATTATACAAAAAGTAAAACATGAAAAAAAAATTTCTTCCAAAAATAAAATGTCAAAATAGTAATTTAATAGTTTAAGAAAATGATATGTTATTAAATAACAGAGCAATTAATAAAATATAGACAAGAAATACTTTATTAGGAATTTTGAAAATCAGTATTTTTAAATGAAAAAAAATAAACTTCACATACATAATTGAAAAAAAATTAAAAGTTGGATTTGTAATGCAATTATCTATTTCATCAAGTGTATACTACAATTTTTTTTACCCTCCACATTAAAGAAGTCAAAAAAGAAAAAATAGTCATTATAATAATTTTAAAAAAAAATTATTAGGTACTTCAATAGTTAAAAAAAGTGTCCTTATCAGTCAATCGGCAGACAACAGAGGACTGAATATGCAATTTCAATATAGATAATATGATTACTGTAGTTGCCAAATAATGCCGTGTTGGGCTTCCATAAGTTTCTAATACACATCAAAAACATATCTTAGAAAATCTCCTGACCCGAAAAACACACCACCGGTTCCTCGGGTAATTGATCTCTCTCTACCCTTCTCTTTGATTTCTTCCTCATTTTCCTAGATTTACTGCTACTTCTTTGGCACCATCTCTACATATATTCTCAGATCACACTGAACGGCTTGCTTGAATCTTTTACTTTCATGGTTTCCCAAATTTTTCTTGATCTCATTTTCTTGAATTTCTTGAATTATGAATAGTTAAAACTAGTGCTAAATCTAAATCTTGGAGATAGTGTCTTAGGTGAAATTTTTTTATGGGGTTGTTTGTTGGAATTGGTAGGAGTTTGCTTGGTTGCTGGTGTATCTAGTTTGCTCTTTATCGTTAAGATTGAATTCACAGTCATTTGTGTGGATCTTGATTCTTAAGAGTAGGGGATGTTTTGGATCAGTGAGATTTGTCGATAAGATGGGAGTTTTTCTGAAGATTAGGGATTGGAATCTAGGAATTTTGGATTTTGAGTATTGGTTGCAAACTTGCAATCTATAGAGATAATGATAGGATGGTTAGATTTTCTTGTACTTACGATCTTCTTGAGATTGCGACTACTGAATGATTTAGTATGATTTATATGGTTTGTTGCTTGTCGAGCCTTGTGCTTGTCGTTTGTATTTGTTTGTCTTGATGGAGTCTAAATGCAAATCAAAATTTAACTAGTTACTTGAAGAAGCCACTTGATATTTTACTGGAAGGATTATCGGGTACTAATTTTAGGTGCACTGCTTCATCTTTTTATTTCAGTAAAGGATTGGAGATTTCAGGAAGCATGGAAGCCAACAGGGGTCAGAATGGAATTCAACTCTTGCTTGCTGCAGAGCAAGAAGCTCAGCATATTGTCAATGCTGCCAGAAGTGGTAAACATGTCCTCTGGTTCTCTTTAAAATACTTGTCACCCCTTTGTTTGTGAAAATCCGGTTTTCTTTTTTTTCTTTTTTCTTTTTTGACATCCTTGCACATAGGGCACTAGATAGGATAGGTTAAGAAATTACATATTTTCTTTTTGTACCTACAATGCTTTTTTTCCGGGTAATCGGGACGAGAATTACCTGGTCCTTGATTTTATATTGTGTTTGTTTGGGTGGAGGGAGATAGGACAGATGAATAGGGAGAAGGAATGGAAATGACGACGTTCTCGTTTCATTCAAGAAGTATATACCCATTCAAGGAAGAGGGGGATCTATTCCTTTTCCGAGTCAGAGTTTTGAATCCTTCTAAGATTGGGAGGGAAGGCATGTGCTTCTCCTTTCTCACCTTTCATCCATTCTTGTTTCTTTTCTCTCCTTCCAACCAAACAAGGAGTGGAGAGGTTTGGCTTCCATTTTCCTTTGTGTGTCTCCTTTGCTCCTCTGAACCTTAGATTTGCATAACATGGTTTATAAGAAATTTTGAAATTTGAGTGGAGCTTACGTTGTTTGTTTTGGGATGTGATGTAGTAAGGCTTAATTTTTTGTAACATGGAAGTAACTTTCACCCTTTACTGATTGCATATGTGATGTAAGCAGTCGCTGCATTGGTGCAGATCTTGATTCTGACATGCTTCTGTTTCTTTTGCCCAGAAAAATTGGCTAGACTGAAACAAGCCAAAGAAGAGGCTGACAAGGAGATTGCTGAATTTCGTGCTCAAATGGAAGCTGAATTTCAGAGGAAGCTTGCTGAGGTAAGAACACAAAAAGGAAAGACTCCTGTTAATTCATTCATGACTACGAGAACATGTCTAATCCACTGGCAATCTCAAATATTAGCTTCTAACTTCAATCCATGTAGTGATTCCAACTTAAGGTTATGAACGAGGTGATATTAATTTATTTGCCAGTCCCCTTTGCTATTTATTTGTGTGTGTTTTAAGTTTATCATGCATTCATAGCAACTTATGGTGCTTTTCCGGCATTGCATATCATGTACTTGTTTGCTTTATATGATTCAAAAGCTGACTTGAACCACTTGTGTGAACCTCAAACAGAGCAGCGGTGACTCAGGTGCTAACGTGAAGCGGTTGGAGAAAGAAACTGACGCAAAGATCGGTCACCTGAAGACAGAAGCCTCAAGGATCTCCCATGATGTTGTACAGATGCTTCTGAAGCATGTGACAGCTGTGAAAAACTAGGATCTTCCTTGGCCTAAGAAGCTAGATGTGTTCAAATACTCTCTTTTGCGTGTACTTTTAGAACTTAAAGGGTTGGAATTCCAGCTTGGTTAAAGTGCTTGTATCCAGTTGTCTGATATTTATTGTTTGATTATGTTCCTTTATGCAATAATTTTGTTCGGTAAGTCGCCTATGAATAAATTATCCCTGTTCTTATCATGCATCCTGGAAAAACACTCTTTTTTGTTTCAACAATTAAAATCTTGAGAGTACCAAAATCATTGTGGTTTTGTGGTGATTTGTCTCAATTTCATCGGTTCTGTCCCCTAAGATCAGGAAGTTGATATGGTGGGTTATATGCTCAAGTATAATATAGCAATCTACAGGTGCAGAGGAAAATAAAAGAAGTAAAATTAAATTTCCTTTGATTGGATGAAAGAAGGCGGGAATTAAGTTTTTCATTGCTTGGATATATAGAGGGAAGATAAAAGAAAACAAGTAATTTTACATTTTTTTTTTTAAATACTTTACTTGCACAAGATGAGTTGGGGAAATAACTCCATGATTAAAAAAAAGATTCAACTACAGTGTGTGTGTGTGTTTTTTTTTTCCCTTCAGAGAATGTGTCCATTTTTTTATTCCCTTATTTTACTCCCCATTTGGTGGAAATTTAGAGTTTTCTCCCCCTTTTCCTCCCCATCCTACCTTTTCTATTCCTAAATTTAGCATCCAAATAGAGGAAACTGAGCATAGAAATGGGAATTGAGTAAGACGCTGCTCGATTGTCTGTTCAGGACAATTAAGGTCAAACCACCATAAACATTTACAATTTCATAATAATGTGTCATTGGCCTATTTTTTGTTGCCCACTAAAACAGGCCTCTGGTTGCAGCAACCCAAGACGGGAGGAAAAATAGTCTGCCTAGTTATGTTTAGAAGCTAATAAAACTCTATTATTCGATGCGTTTCATGTGCTGAAACATTATGTATATCGATCTACAAGTTGGACGTAAAATGACAGGCAGTTCGTATATGGAGTGATGATTTTGGCTGTCCTTGTTAAGGGTGCAATGCTGAGAAATCCTGCAAGATTTGCTCCACCACTATCCCACTTGCAAAGATGCCCACCCCAAGAAGCGCAGGCCTTGCTCTCGATAGCGTATTTTGGTTAGTAGCGCACTCTCGTTCTCTGTTATACATTGCCCAGGCCATTGCCGGTGGAAGAATTCCATAGAGCATTGTCATGCAGTAGCCTCCCTGTTCCACATTGAAGGCTAACAATCAGAAAGATCGGTTCTCTAGGTTTTAAAATGGAAATGTGCTCTGATCCAAAACATGAGTTGGTATTCTTTGCACCGGATAGCTAAAGGCTAGTTGTTGTTCCTTTTTAAAATCCTTGAGTTTCATGTGTGCTTTTGCTCTCCATACACTTGGGGACTTACAGCGATGTCCGTGGCAGCAGAGAATGCATCTGGAACGATGGTTGAGACAACTAGCGTTGGTGCAACCGCCATTGCCATTGCTGCGAAGCTGATTTTATTCCTTTCCCACCATTCACTCAGCCCATTTGGTTCCTGTAATATTTTCGTAGTTTGCTCTAATGAAAAGAGAAGTCTGATAAATAATCACCATAAGGCAGAATTAGAAAAGGGAAAAAGAATTTACCTGTGACGTTCGTGCAGTTTTCGCATGCCGTGAGAGGTTCTTCAGTTGCTCCTTGAAGAACTCGGAGAAGCCGAGGAGGGTGCCAATCAGTGATGTTGCTACTGCAAGAAGTGAGAAGGCCTCTACCATGTATGAAACCCCTCTCCATCTCTCACTGATGCAAGGACCATACATCATAGATGATAGATATTTAACCTCAGAATTTATTTATTCTTGTTAAATTATCAAATTATGATAACTAGAAAATTACTGAGCATCTCAGGACTTAATAGAATATGCAGAGTCTAAATTACCTCATCAGAAATTCAACTGGATCAACAACTTGATCAGTCTGAGCAGAAAGGCTAAGAGCAATTGCATCCCAAACAAGCAATGCCAGCAAAGGAACAATGCTACCCAGCAACACTGAAGCCCGTAGTCGTTTAAGGTCACCACCCAAATAAGCACAGAGAACTGCAGGGATATTGAATATCATAAACCTCGAGGCTTTTCTGTTGATCAAAAAGTATAATATTTTGGACACAATTTTATTTACCAGGTGCTAGATCATGATAAACCAAAGCAAAAATCATCACAGGAACTGTAGCTGGAACTTTTCCCCAGTCACCACTTCCCTCCAATCCTGACCACCCTCCGAACGCAATGGCTATCACCTCAATCGCTAGTAGCAAACCTGTGCATTTTGTTAGCATCCATATATGTAGCCATTGCAGTAACTAGCCTAGGAACATGTTACTGATGCAAAAGTAATACTGTCAAATAAATAGAATAGTATGGAGCATTTTATCGCTTTTTTTAACATGATTTTTAACAACAATATCATTGTATACCTATCATGGAAGCAGTAAGCCATTGATTGACTTGATCAGTTGCTTGAGTCCCACCGAAAAATATTAACGTAGTGAATATAGTAGTGAAGAGGCAGGATGAAACAGATTCTGGAAGATTTACCAAACGAAAAAGGATCTCCCCAGACTTGGAACTATAGGCAATCATGGAAGTGTAACCCAAGAAGACATAGGTAACGGTAGCCAAGTTCCCACCCCAGTCTCCTAGAGTCTCTTGAGCCATAGTCCTAATAGATATGACCTCTAGTTCACTCTCATCTTCCTTTTTACCTTGCTTCCTCCTCAAACCAACATTGATCTCAACAAGCAAAAGTGCTTCAATTAGGAGAAAACCCCAACATACTATCATGCATATTGAACTTGGAATTACTCCCTGAAATGAAAGTTTGGATACATTAACTAATCATAACAAATGGGATCATTTCCGGAATATCAGAAGTGTTTGTTAACTAATCATCACAATTGCATTGAAGCTTGAACGTGCGTTTCTGTGAGCATGTGACAGTTTGTGTGTGTGAAGTGGGGTGGGGGGGAGAGAGAGATGGAGGGAAATTTTTACTGCAGGAGAAGCTTTCTGTGGTAGAGCAAGTATCCCAGAACCAATACTAGTACCAATAATAAGAGCAACAGCACCAGCAATAGTTCCTTTCTTCTCAGACACTTTAACCGGCTCCTCGCTCAATTCTATAGGAACTTTCTTTGCCTTTGTTACTAAAGGTCTTTGAGTTACAATTTCCCTTCTCTCTTGCTGCCATTTGCAGGCACAAGCAAGATAATCACGGCTGGAAGAAGAGAAATTGGTGGTTAAATTTATGCATCACTGACATCAATAGAAAGAGAAGTTTCAGAAAGAATCAGAGAAGGGAGTTACTTCATACATCCTGTACTTGAAGTAAACTGTAGTGTTCTTTTGTTGGCTTCTAACCAATGACGGGATCACTATGAAATTTTTGTGACTTTTGGAGTACAAGGAAGAAGACGAAGGCATGCACTGTGTATCCATGGGAGCGAGAGATGAGAGACGAGCTATGAAAATGAATGGACCATAAATGCAAGTGCCCTCCATATAATTTGGAAGTGGATCGTGTTAGAATATGACTGACGGTTCCATAGGATATTTTGCAACGATGGGTGATCTTAGTGCTTGAATTTTTATTTTTATTTTTATTTATTTATTTATTTATTTATTTTGAAGACTTTCCATCTAAACTGGCTATCTATAGCTCCGTGGTGATTCGTAACTCTTTAGGGATTTGGTTGTATAATTTTATTTGTAATGTCAGTATATGTTCAATTTTAAATGTAGAATTTTGTGAAATTTTGGTTCATTTTGAACTTGTTTGAAATTGGTTTTAAATTGGTTATTGATTTCTCAGTAAAAATGATGCAATATCATTTTTTTTATGTCCAATTAATTATTAACAAAAAAAATTAAAAGAAAATGGAATTTTATAACTCATCATATACTCATAAATTATTATTACTTTCATTATTCATGATTTTATTGTAATTTTCAAGCTATTTTAAGATTTTTGACATGCAACCTTTCATATTTTTAGAAATAATGTATTTTTGTTTTGATTCCTAACTTTATTTCTAATGCGATTTGGTCCCTGAATGAGACAAATGAAGAGAGAGAGAGAGAGAGGCACGGCTAGGCCTCGTTCTAAGAAAAAAAAACGCAATGTTTGTTTTTTAAAGCCAGCGTGCTTGAATTTTTTTTTCTTTTTTTTCCAAAGACTTTTTTTTTAAATAAAATATGAATTCATTTGTAATGCGATTTGGTCCCTGCATGAGACAAATGAAGGGGGGAGAGAGAGGGAGAAAAAAAAAGAGAGGCACGGCAAGGCCTCGTTCTAGAAAAAAACGCAATGTTTTAAAGCTTGCTCTCAAAGGCCCTGCTTGGCTTTTTTTTTTTTCTTTTTTTTTTTTTTTTGTCCAAAGACTTTCTTTTAATAAAATATGAAAAATTGATAATTATTTTTTTTCACACAACCTCAAAAGAAAAAATACATATTATATATTTTCATAATTTAGATTGAACATATATTTTAGATTATTTTACTTTTATTATTTAAAATTTACCGCTTTAACTTGCCTTTTTTTTTTTTTTGAAATTCTCATCCAATTAATTTAAAATTACATTTACTCACAATTTAGATTTATTTTTCTCTATGTATGTATTTTTTTTTTGAAATAAATTTTTAAAAATTAATTATTTTTTCTTTTGAAAAATAGATTTATATAATTTTCAAATTATAGTAGCATGTGTGTGTGTGTGTGTGTGTAATTTGTCTTAGATATAATTTTTAGATTAAAAGTGTATTTTAAATAATTTATCTCAATTTTTTAAAGTTTAAATTAGTTGATTAATAATTGAAAATCAAATGTAGGAAACAAGACGGATATGGTCATTTTATATATGAGGCCTATATTCAAAGACTAATCATGTATAGCATAGAATTTAAAAATTATTTAAGAAGAAAAAAGAAAAGGAATTCATATGTTATATATATATATATATATATATATATATATATATATATAATATTTATTGTATTCAATTTTGTACTAATATTTATTTAGTCTATTAACTTCAAATTTATTCCTTGTATTCCTTGCATGTTAACATTTTTTGATAGTTTTTTTTTTTTTTGCGTTGTAAACTCGAACTCATTCAATACGGTTATGATGTATAAAAAAATATTGAATCATTGTATTTATTAGAATTAATTGTGCAACTACTACAATGCTAAGAATTTATTATTTATTTATTTATGAATATTTTAAAATTAATTTCTTTCAAATTACATAATTAAAATTATGTTTCGGCATAACCACCTAACGATTCAAATATAGTTTTTTATTTTAATATTATTTATTTTTTTATAAATAAATATATAAAAATTAAATTTTGATTCTCTCAAAAACTCGATATTCTTATCAACATTAAATAAAAATCAAAAACAAATTTTTGAATCTGTTCGAGTTCTAGGTAAGTTTTTATTAATTGTTACTTTATTTTTTGAACTCAATCTTATAAAATACTAAATTTTTTAAAAAAAATTATTTAATTTTTTTTAGTTAAGAATCCATTGATTAAGAAGAATAAATCCTTTTTTAATAGAAAATTTGTGAAAAAACACAAAGAAGAAATAGTTAAATACAAAATTTTGATTAAAAAATCATAAATAACTTTTTTTCCCCTTTGATTTCATATATTTTTTGTAGACTTGCACCATAACAAGACTATCAAACTGAAAATTTTTTTAGATAATTTCACATATTCTATCCAACCTGCAGTGTAGTGTGGACAAAAAAACTAGTTGTTTATAAAAAAAATTAAAAGCCCTAAAAGAGATTTAACTTCTTTTTTTTGGTTATAAAAAAATGTTTCAAACCTAAAAGCTTTTAGGAAGAAGGAGATAGTCGAAATTGAACTATAAATAGCTAGCAGAAAAGAAGAAGAAGAAAAGTATAAACTTGTTTGAGTTATCAGCTTACGTAGCAAGAGAGAAAAAGCACATTGAAAATGGAATTTTGGACGTATAAATTCAAGTGTGTTAACATGATTAATAAAAATTTAATTTATGTATTTTTTGTTTAATATTAAAATAACATATTGATATAATTAAAAAATATAAATTTTGTGTTTTTGGGTTCAGTAGCCTTGAGACTAATATTTACAGAAAAATTATTCTCTTAATGCACAAGACCCATTGATATAAGAGGTGCCTTGTCAAAGCAATAATAAAGAAAATTACTTGGAACAATCTGATGTGAATTTTTGGTTGAACATATACCAACCAGCTACCCATCTAACTCCAAACACTATTAAGCAATGAATGCTGCAATCAATTAACCACTCCTCTTTCCTTTTCAAAAACAAGCTCTTTTATGCCCCTTTAAATTGGGGGAAAAAAGGGAAAGTAGAAGGATTATAATAGGAGAATCTAGTATTATGCCTATAATAAAATATAATATAATCTCACGGTAGCTAAATCTTTGCTATAATGAACAAAAAAAAATGATGTTTTAGATATTTTGCACACTTGTTTACACTTTGATCCTTTGAGTTTTAATTTTATACAAAACAATTTTTAATTTTAATTTTGTTACAACAATGTCTTTGTATTATTTTTTTTTTTTAATGATTGGACTGTGCTTCCAGCTCAGGCACTCCAAACCCATACGGAAGGGCCTAGTCTGAGTCCCATTCCAGTCTCTCTTTTTTTCCCATTTTTTATGCTTTTATTTTTTTATTATTTATTATTTACTCAAAATAAATTTTTTCTCCATAATTAATGGTTAGTTTTTTATTTTTTTATTTTATAGACTCATTTGCTAAAATTAAATACTCTTATAATATAAATTAATTTAGCAGCTTCATCTAATTTGATTTTTTAATAAATAAATAATTAATTGTATTTTTTTATTGATCAAAATAAAAAATATTTCTAAGATATATTTAAACTCAATTATATATATATATATATATATATACACACTACATATTAAATTAATCAAATTCCCATAATTAGTGTCAATTAATTTTTATTTTATGCTTAGATGTTTTTAATTATTTCAACTATTAAAATATATTATATAGACTTACTCATGTCAACGCATGAGTACTATGCTAGTTTATTTTCTCCTTTTCATGCTGTAGCATCTTTAAAATGTTTCATTTCGTCATATCTATTTTGAAGGAAACATGTATGCAGATTGATTATCTAATTATACTCATTTTCTAGAGGTTGAAATTCAGTATTGCCTAAAAACTCTTATTAGCTGCTTGAGACTTTTATTAGAAGATGGTGGAATGAAATTGTCTTTTATGAAATGATTTATTTGTAATCTCTAGGGTTTTGTCCTCTCTCTCTCGAGAGAGAGAGAGAGAGAGAGAGACTTCATCATTTATAAAGATATTTTAAAACTTTAATCTCAATATAAATACAGCCAAAGTCTTTTTGAATAGTGAATGTAATATGTATTGCTTGAAAATTAAAAATAGATGTATATCTGCCATTTATTGTAAAGAAAAAAGGAATTCTCATTAGTCATAGCTACGGTCTAACCAAAATATCAGGAAAACAAAACTAAGGTACTTGCTTCATACAATCCAATTTTGCATTGAGAATTTGTCAAATAGTGAGTAACGTATCATTGGATAACAATCTAGAGGATCTTTAAGGTAATTCTGACATTGTCATTTGGAGCTGCTGTGTCCTCGTCATGTCGTAGTACAAGAATACACTGCAGCAAGACGCCCATCGTATCCTGTATCAAATCAACCTATTGCCAGAAAGAAACCCATAAATGGGCCTGTATAAGACCATGAATCCAAGGCAACAAAGTTGAAAAGATCCATCCAATCAAGGACCTTTTCCCATTTTTCTAGCAAAAAGAAGCTAGGCTCAAGGCCCATGAATCCTTGCTGAAACCTGCGGATATTTGGACAGGGTGCAAACTTGAAAATTGAAACAAGGGTTAGAACCTAAAATGTTCTCCTTAAACTTTCTTGGTCGAAAATAGGATAATTAACAGTTGCTAGGCAAACCCTTTTGGACACCAAAAATTAAATTGCATAGGATCCAATAAGCATAGAATCAATAGGTCACATCCAGTAGGCTAGACTGTGACATAGGAAGGTAAACAGGGGAATGGGTTAAAAAACATATGTGATAAGGACCAAAGAGTTTATGGAAACATGGGATATCAACTTGATGAAATGTGACAAAACCAACATAAGGCAAACAAACAAAAGTGATTTATCGTACAGAAGCCAAGAGAGAGAGCTTCGTCCTAAATTTTAAGTTTTAACGGCTTTGTTTTGCTGCGCCCTGCAAGGCTGTAGCCATCCTGTCACTACAAGCCCATCCCCTGCTCACTAAAGATGTCCAAAACGCATTTAACACTACCTCCAAAAGTGCATCTGTTTCTCTGCTCTTGCTTGTGTTTTGTTGTTGTTTTTTTTTAAAAAAATCTGATGAAGGATCATTAAAATAACAAAAATACAAGTGGGTTAATGTAACAAGAATGCATGAAGTGTGGGAATGACTTTGGAGCCTAGGAGGTGTAATTAAGTCCAAGAAAAATTACTCCCATGATTATTGTCATTGGGATATGAAAGCTTTGTAAGAAGTTAAGTGGGCCTTAATATAATATTCACCGTGATTAGTGGAGAAAGTGCTTAAATAAAAATTCTTTAATCCCATGGATTAGTATCTTACTGTGAGAGGAAATGTGGAGAAAGATACCAATGTTAGTGCCGATTGATTTTCCTAGTACAACCCTTTCAGAATCCACCAAGCTAATGAAAGTGAAAATTAAGAACCAAGAAAGCCTTTATTCTCGAAATAAACCTTAAAAAAAATCAATACATCAATTACTACATCTAGATATGTTATATTTATTGCTAAAAATATCGATATTAAATCCAAAACTCCAATCAGATCACTAGTGATCTAAGAAAATCAAATATCCAATTATATTTTTATCCGAACTTTTAACTATTTATGTATCTTTTAATCGATCTTAATAATATATACAATTTTTCTCTATCTAATTATTTATTAAAAATAAAATATCCTTCAATATTTATTTATTTATTGTTTTTCATATTTTTTCTATTCATCTACCTATTTAAATGTTTTTTATATCGTTTCCATTCTGTCTAAAATAATAGCTATTTTTCATTCTATCTCTAAAACAACATGCACAATATACAGTCAATCCAATTTAGTTCAAATCTCGGCCTCTCTCAGATTTTCCAACCAACCGCCAATCTTTTTTACTATTCCATGTGCATTGTTACGTGGATAATTTTTTGACTTTTAACTATGTCTAATTTTTTCTCTTCCTTGAAAAACTCCTCCATCTTTTTTACTCTTGTGGATCACTACACATCCGGTGCACTCAAAAAGTCAAGTCTTTTGTTGAATTGATTCAAAGTTAAACGTGATTTGATGCTGTCTAAAAATAAAATTTTCGTATTGATTGATGCGACAGTGATTTGATTATACCCCATTACCTATAGCATATATAAAAAAATTTATTTAATTGTTGTGCATTCTAAGTTAAAATAACAAATTTCTAATTTCTTTTTATATTATAACAAAATCAAGATCCTTTTATATACACGATGAAAGTAATATTTGATTGATTTTTTTTATATTAAAATCTCTATGGGTATTTGTCGTGTCATTTAGTTGGATTATTTTAATTCTTAAACTTACTTTTAACTGTCTCTTTATCATAACATGTTAGACATTTTGTTAATTTATATCGAACTAGTTGAATAAAATTACCTTAGGATATTTTGAATATCACTTTCAATATTTTTTTTCACAAAATTCTAGAATGCAACATCGAAATGATTTGATGCAACAAATTTCATATCAACAATAAAACTGGAATGGTAGTCGAAATAGTATTCACAACGTTGAAGAAAAGATAATTAAAGAGACCCTCTAAATTTTTTGTGGATCGTAAAGGGAATTGGAGCACATGGAACTTGTAAACTTTCGAGGAATTAATTAAGATTTAATTGAAATTTTTTAGCAAGCGGCCTTATCACTGCCAACAAGCTTGTGTATAATTGAGTTAAGTTGGAATTTTATATGGTTTACAAAATCATTATCAAAAATCAATCTCTTTATCTACTAAACAATCAACAAGACATGATGTAATTGGCTTGCCAATCACTTGTAATCAAGAAATAGTAACAGACTAGTGGATCAGAATCGCAAAAAGGTGTTTCCGTCACTTCAATTTTCACCACGAATTGATGGGTTCCAAAAAATTTGGCAAATCTCAGCGTTTCATCTTCTTTTTTTCAAAGTTCAGTACTTCATTTAGGCAGCCAGACCCCAATTGCTTGACATTTTTTTTATTCAAAGTTCAGTATTTCACTTGTAACCAGTCTCGATGCAATTGTTCTGTATGGCAGAGAAAATGGAAAAGTAATGGGGAGTCAATTGACAACATAGGAATGCCATAAAAAAAGGAACATGGAAATGTAATTTACTTTGTTTAATCTAGAAAAACCCAAACAGATAGAGCAGTTAATGTGCTTTTGAGGATGTGAATCGAATATTTGACAATTTCAACGAGTTTCATGCATTTGAATAGGACCCCACGTCATGACTATTGACTAGTCTTTCAAAACCGAAAGACCAGATAATTCTACAAAATTTGCATATCCAATTTTTCTTAGTTTGTTCCTCCAATCACGTGTGTTATTGATCCATTCCCGCAGCAATGAGAATTTTTTTTTTTTTAAAAAAAAAAAACCTGTTTCCATGAACTCAAATCCGGGAGAAACCTATCAAATCATCATGAAAAAAAATTGGCCTCTGATCACTCCTCAATTTAGCTCTTTCAACTTTGGTAACCAATTTATAGCTACCACTCACCCTACCTTCCTATTCTCGCAATAACCTAATATTGACCCACATTTGCCGTCAGCACGTACACATAGTGGAACCCATTTTTGCCCTTAGTCTAATCATCGCAATTGCCGTAAAAAAGTTCCCATTTATTTTCGTATACGAAGCCTCGTCAAACTCGGTCTCCTTAAACAGTCCAAAAAATATATATATATATATATCAAAAGGATATCTTCAACTGCCAAATGAAATGAATTTTTTTATCAGCATTTAATCCTTTTTTATTAAAAATATTGATTACAGTAATTTTGGGATAAGATTTTATATATTAAAGCAAGTTCACTAAATAACTAGAACATGTGAAAAAACATTTGTGTTGTTATGCCTGTTTTTCCAGTTCTAAGAACATGAAGAATTTAAAATTCTTGATTTTGAAATCAATCAGTACCCGTAAAGACTGGTTGAAAAATAATCATTTTTCGGGTGAAAAAAAATAAAAACATGTGTGCTGCGAATGTACAAAAACATATTTTATTAATACAAAATTAGCATAACAAAGAAAAATGAGGTTGAGCACAATCAGTGTTAGTGCGGCTCCATTCTTTTGCCGACGGGGGTGGTCCCTGCCCCCACGCGTGAGGACAAGCAGGGCGGGAGGTGAAATTGGAAAATAACAACACGTCTTTCGTTTTTTATTTTTTTGTTGTTCGTCAATTTGACCGTTGATCACGGACAAACAGCGGAAACAAAATCTGGACCCTTGAATCAAGAACCAGAAATGATCCGTTGTTCAAGTACAATTTGTACAACCGTCCGTCACCTGTTGTTCCTTTTTCTTTGTTCTAGCATTGTCAATATTTTCGCACATCAATCGCTTTTGTGCAAGTTAGCAGGAGTTTTGGACTTCTAGCTTAAATTTTAAAGTTTAAATCTCATTTTTTTTCACACATTCTAACGACCATCGTAAGATTTTTATATGTTTTTCCTGTTCAAGACGAAAGAGATTTGATATTTTCGGTTTTAATATCAATTTGTATCCATAAAAGATAATTAAACAGAGATCTATACCCACCAAAATTAACTCCAATTCTTCATTTTAATTAAAAATAAACAATTTATAAGATTCAGTGTGTATTTGGTAATTTTTTTTTTCATATAATTGCTTGATAATAGTAAGATGGTAGAGTCATTTAATTCGATGTTTTTCAATCTAAATATACTTTATACACACTCAAACCACGATACTAAGTAACTTTTTACTCTGATTTTTAGATGCAATTAAAGAAAGTACCAAAAAAAAAAAAAACTTTTACGTGATATCTGAACCAAATTACGAAGGAGAACATTCCTTTTTAGCTATAAAGATTAATTTCTGTAAATGGTGACATTTTTACTCTTGTTAAAGAAAGCCAGTATGAATTAGTGTTACAGGATAAAGAAACGAAGGCATACGGGTTAATGAATTTAAAACAGTAGAAGTCGTACCTATTTATGTAGGTAAGGTGGCCACATTCTATAAAGTTCAGGAGAGAGAGAGAGAGAGAGAGAGGAGTGCCCGTGTTGAAAAAATGTTTCTTGTAGTTTTAAAGTCCATAAACAGACATGCTCTGCAACTGCTGTGTTCTTGCCTCCTCTCCCTATAATCACCGTTGCCTCTCTTTGGCTTGTTTTGTGTTTTGTGTTTTGTTTTGAGTGTTAGCTAGTCGTTTGTTTTTTTGTTGGCTGGCTGGCTGGCTGGCTGGTTGGTTAATCTTTTTATGCATCAGTCTAGCAACTACTATTTCTTTTACTCCAGCTTTAGCGTGCTCTGATAAAAGATACTTGCTGCATACAAAACACACACACAGAGGAAAGGGAGAGAGATAGTGACAGAGAGAGTTGGGGTTTGGGCAAGAGGGTTTTTTTGCCTTTCGAAGAGGGAGTTTCTTGTTTCTGTTCTTTTCATTTCTATTCTTTGTTTTTTTGTTTTTCACTTCTTTTCTTGTAAAGAATGATTGGTTGCAAGGTTGAACTGAAGTGAAAGTCTGGTTTGGGTCATAAAAAAAAACAAGAAAAATCTTGAGTTTCTTGATCATTAGAGATTGCCAAAAATATACATAAGGGGCGCTGGTTTGAAGGGATTCGTTCGTTGAGCCTTCTTTTCATATATATATATTTTTTGTTATTTTGGAAGTTTCTTTTAAGCTTGTTGTCTTAAATTCAACAAGTCTTTGCATTACTCGTCAACAAAATCAAATTTTGGCAACAAATTTATCTAGGCGTTAAGACCAAGGTAAAAACTCTCTGTGTAGCCAAATTCAGATAAAAGAAAACGGCAGCAAAGTTTGTGTGGGGTTAGCATCATTCCATAATAAATTTTTCCTTTCACTAAACAAGCAAGAAAAACATTCACTTCATTGCAAGAACTTTCACAGCTTCTATTTTATCTTTCTTTCTCTCTTATGGAGTACAATCAATCTCAAGAAATGCAAGAACCCAGTATCGATCCTGACAAACTCAGTTACGAAATCTTTTCAATTCTTGAAAGCAAGTTTCTCTTCGGCTATGATGATCAAAAGCTCTGGATTCCTAAACAGATCTCTCCTGCAACAATTGAAGCAAAGCCCGAGTCGCATAATCCTTCAGTTCTCACGGAAAATAACAGCAACGGGCTGTCTGCAATCAAGAATCAACGAGGCAAAATCTGCATATTGTCTATTGATGGTGGTAGCAGCCTAAAAGGGATTATTTCAGGGAAAGCATTGGCTTATCTTGAAAACGCGTTGAAAGTGAAATCAGGCAATCCTGACGCCAGAATTGCCGATTATTTTGATGTGGCAGCCGGAACTGGAATTGGTGGAATCTTCACGGCCATGCTTTTCGGCACCAAAGACCACAACCGTCCGATCATGCAAGCTGAGGAGACTTGGAAGTTCTTAGCTGATCAGGGTAAGAAACTTTACAATTCTGGTACCAGAAATGGTGGGTTTTTAAAGCGGTTTTTCAAAGGGAGCTCGACCGGTTCAACCGCTGCCACAGCCGGATTAGAGAAGACCATGAAGGAGACATTCAGCGATAAAGGCCGGAATTTGACGTTGAAGGATACTTTAAAGCCGGTTTTAATTCCTTGTTATGACCTCTCCAGTACGGCGCCGTTTTTGTTCTCTAGAGCGGATGCATTGGAAACGGATAGTTTTGACTTCCGGCTTTGGGAGGTTTGTCGGGCTACATCCGCTGAACCGGGTTTGTTTGACCCGATTTTAATGGGGTCCGTAGACGGTCAGACCAGGTGTTTGGCTGTTGATGGCGGTTTAGCCATGAGTAACCCGACCGCAGCAGCGATCACTCATGTGCTGCATAATAAGCAGGAATTTCCATTTGTTAGAGGAGTTGAGGATTTGTTGGTGCTGTCATTAGGGACTGGTCAGAGTCTTGAGGTTAGTTATGATTACGAGCAGGTTAAGAATTGGAGGGCCAAGCAGTGGGCTCGACCGATGGCTCGAATTTCGGGTGATGGTTCGGCAGATTCAGTGGACCAGGCAGTGGCCATGGCATTTGGTCAGTGTAGGAGCAGTAACTATGTAAGAATTCAGGTATGTTAATGGCATCACTTCTATCTTTAAATGGTATTATGCTACTTGGATATGGTTTTTATTTTGCTTGATTTTAGCGTACAAGACAGGTATAGCCAGGCTGGAAATGGTTAACCTAGTTGTGTCTTTTTCACTCAAATACAATTTTTGTGCATATTTAGCTTCGTTTATTCAATTGAATTTAGTGTTTGTTTGCACTTTGCAAGAGTAATGGCCTAATGGGGTCGGTGCTGCAATGTGTCTTGTGGCTTATTTTTAGCCGACATGTAATAGGGGCAAACCATAAATTCAAGTGCCCCAGTTGGATTATGGGTATCTGTGACTGCTGACTTCCACATGATGGGTTGGTTGGTTTTGCCTCTGGTTTTTCTTTGTTTTCTATGCCCAACGGTTGGGTTTTGGTTTGACTCGAGACCTTGGATTTGTTGGCGTTGGGCTCTGGCTATAAAGTTACCATCCCTTGTAGTTTAGCTAACCCCATCATTTAATGTGCTGCGTCTTTTGGTCAAGGTATTAAAATTAAAATGCTTTTATTGTTGTAATATTGTACTAAATTGAATGTGGCGTTACCACCGGATAATAAGAGAAATTGTTTGTTCTGGTTTTAATTCTTCCTCTTTGAAACAATTGCAAAGATATTTTGATAAATAATTTTCTTTTCATTGGATAGATTGAATCTGAATTGTTTTCCAAAAATCCAAAATTGAATTTCACTGCCATATTTACCACCATGCATAATCTTGATTTTAATTGCATTGCTAAGAAGATAATATTGTGCGTAGAATAGAAGGTAGAAAAGGGTTAGTGGGGGAGGCTTTAATTGGAGTTTTCTGCAATAAGTAGATAGAAGATGGCCGGAGAGCTGGAGACTGGAATTTCCCAAGAATGGGTGGCATAAAGCAACTAGTCATAAAAATGTCATTCATGATTTTACATTGATATATATATATATATATATATATATAGTCAGAGCCATAATTAGCTATGCTTTTATTATGAGTATCGCTTATGGCAATGTAGCTTTATTTGGTGTCAGATGCAAGGACATGTATAGTTCTTTGGGATTCTTGTACTGCCTTCGCGTTAGTCACATATATAGACAGAAATGAGGAACCTTTTACTTTTTGAATGCATGTGTAATCTATTTGTTTCTTTCATTTTTGCAGACAAGGATGTCATTTTAACCCAGGAACGACATTACTTTAACTGTCCTGTTGTAGTTTTGGTTAGAAATTTGGAAAGGTTAAACTTATTAGGCAGTTTCCATGTTGTTAATTTTGCCATAAAAAGCAGATGCATAGTTGATAATAGAGTATGTGGAGTACAAAATTAGATTGCTTTTTTGGTTTTTGTTTTGGTTTTTAACGGTAAATGTATTGTCAGATCATAATACAGAATTGAAACTTGGAAACTAACTTGTTTACCAACTTTGATTGTTAGGTACCGTTCCAAATTTATGTAAAAGAAAAAAGGCTAGACAAGGAATCTTAGACTGTTATAGCTTTGTGCCCACTGAGTTCTTTCTTTAATTTCAATTGTATAAACAATTCTATGGTGGTCCGATACCTTTATTATGATTTGGTGTTACTAAATATGATAGTATATGTTTAATCTCCTAATCATAATAATTTGGGTATGACAGGCAAATGGGTCCAATTTGGGAAGATGTGGACCCAATGCGGACACAGACCCTAGTCCTAACAATGTAAAGCTGCTGATTGGAATAGCAGAGGAAATGTTGAAGCAGAAAAATGTAGAATCTGTGCTGTTTGGTGGCAAGAGGATTGGAGAGCAAAGCAATTTTGAGAAACTTGATTGGTTCGCTGAACAGCTTGTGCTAGAGCATCAGAGGAGGAGCTGCAGAATTGCTCCCACTGTTGCTTTCAAGCAAGCTGCCACCAATACAACCTAGACTCTCCTCAACAATGACAAGAACCAAAACCAAACATTTGGGGAAAAAAAAAAAAGGTAAGATTTTTCTTTCCATTTATTAGTATATTATAAACATAAATCCAATTTTATGCTATTTGTCTCGGCTTTATAGCATCTTACTAGACCCTACTTTTGAATAAATATGATCAAGTGGGGACGCTCATAATACTCAACAGGAGGGAGAGACATTAGAGGGGTTCGATTATTATTATTATTTTTTCCTCATCCAAAGCTTTCAAAAAATTTATGAGTTTATATTTCAATTTTTTGATCATTACTTCAAATCTGATTTTGCCTTTCCAGCCTTGAAATGTCCCTATCTATTGAATCCAATTGCGCCTACCCGAAAATGAACACTCCTATTCCTTTTTGGACTAGATTAATTTAGCTCATGCATTTTCTAATTGCAGTGCATGATCTCTTACAACCTCAACCAAACTTATGCTTTGTACAAATTGGGTTGTCTTAAACAAATGGACGTAAAAAAGAAGCAGGTAACAGCTAAAATTGTCATTTAGTGAAGTCGTGGGCTCCCCTTGTCATTTTCAATATCTAATTCCGAAAAATCAAACAACCGGTTGTTATTGTTCTTGATGAACATAAAAATTAGGAGATGCAAGAACTATGCAAATTGGTGATGTGGGGAAGCCAATTTCCAATTCTTGTCGGTCGACCGACACAGGTTCTTGTTATAGATGAGGGATATCTTGGTCATTTTATGGAACAACCTTGCTGTTCCTGCTTCTGGATCTTTATAAATGAATCAAATCATTGAAGGGGTGTCTAAAGGTATATCATTGTACTAAAAAACAGAAATCTTTTTTATCATATTTTGCTTCACTTTTAGGACAAAGCTGAATTCTATATGTCCTCACCTCAAGACTTTAGCCTGTAAACCAAATTCCATTCCTATGCTTTATTTATATCACAAACTGAATCCTACTAGTAAATCTTGGCAATGCTGTCACCTCTTTTTATTGCCTTCAAAGCTCATTAATGTCATTGGGTCCTTGGACTGATGTAGAGGGGGGACTATGGCCATTATTTTCATAAAGTTTGAAAGTGTTGCACTTAGAACATCTTAGGCAAACATTATATTTCTGAATGTTTTTATGACATCATGAACAGAACACTCTTTTATTTTTCCAATAGTATTGTCTTTGAGATTTGAGACATGTGTGATCATTTGTCTTTTGCCTTGTTTTTCTTTTTAAATTTAGGGTTCTCCCTTCAGAGTAGAGATGAAACTACATGTCTATATTTTAACTATTCATGCAGCATTAATTGTCAACAGCCAATGAGTTGAGTAAATTAGTGAATCTAATAAGAGCCACAAACATTGAACTTACGTTAAAATATCAACGTCTTAGCAACCGGATTCAGTGCATTACTTCTCTTGGTGGCTTAATTTAATAGTACAGTCTCTGTATAGCCGTGCCTATCGATGTATTTGCTCGGAATTCCAGTGCTTATGGACCATTTATTGTTGAATTGCGTAAGTAAGGGGAACCCTCCTGCCAATGCCAATAAATTCTCTTTGGCACCTACCAGCAACCATGTCACTGTAGGGAATGAATTGTGTGCAATGTGGGGGACCGGTTACCTCCAAATTTGCTTTCAAATTCTTGGTGAGCTTACTCACCAGGTGAATCTAAAAGGAACAGATAGTTAATGAAAGAAAGGCCATTAAATTCATGTTTAGTTGTCAGAAATTCAGAAGAGAAAGTGCGATGTGCTCTAAATTTGAGTTCACCTTTTTTATAATTTTGCCTTTCCTTTACAACCTCAGCACTGCATTCTTCTGTGATATGATATTACGCCTTTAGAGTTGTTCAAATGTTTGAAAGGGTGTGGTCAAAAGGAATGGCATCGGACTATGAATTTTTGAGCTTTGTGCTTCTTGTTGGTCTTTTTTTGTTTGTTGCAATTCGTTTATTGTTAATAGTACGTTTATGTTCTCAAATGCAGGTGAAAAAATATATTTAAGGAACAAAAAAAAGGGAAAAAAGAGGGAAGAAAAAAGTAATATAGCAGCTTTTACTTTTGACAGTCATGAAGATAGCAAGAGAAGAAGAGGAGGTGAGGGAATTGAGTGAAAATGACAAGAAAAACATAAAGGGCTAGAAGATCTTAGTAGGATACTTTGCCTGTCAGGTGAGGGGCATGGTGTGTCCACTCCACCTTCTTACCATGGTAAGGAACCAAGAAAGAAAAGAAACAAATGAAAAAAAGGCAAATATCAGTTAAGCTTTTTGAAGGTCAAAACCAACTATCAGGTGTGAATCTTTTCATGTCAATTAAAGATTTTAGGGTCAGAAGACTCTGTTTGTATATTTCTTTCTTTCTTTTTAATATTTTTCATTCTTAATTAGACTCAACTCTCAAGAAACTTGAGTGGGGACGCATGGTGGGCTACTTCACTGGTCATCAACCCCTAATATATAGCCAAAGTCCTTTATCTGACCTATGGACCCTTTTCATCTTTCCTTTTTCCTTTTTCGTCAAATAGACTGTAGTGGTGAGGAATAGATTTGAGAGTGACTAGTACATCATCCCAGAACCACCCACATCTCCCATGAATGGAGAGATGTATGGACCAATATTAAACAAAATAATAATAATAAAAAAAACAACTTCTTTTCTTGTTTATGTTTCATCCTTCATTATTACAGGATTTAGGGGGGTCCTCTATTGCATTTTCTCTTTTGAAAATGTTCATGATGTTACCATGATTGCTTGTGAGGAAGAAGCTTGTGAGGAAGAAGGGAATTTTGGACTCCTCCTGCAAATCTTTTGTAAGTACTAAAAAGAGTGGTGGTGGATCATGGATGGTTGTTGTTGGTGATGTTTGTATTTTCTTGGTTGAGTTTTGTTTAATTAGCTTTGTTGTCTAGTGCTTTAGCTTTTTCACGGACCTCACTTACTATTATCAAATGATTAGTGGGTATTAAATGATGGATAATAGTGGGCAGGTTAGATACATATTGAAAGCTCATTTTCATGGAATATTTTATATGCGCACGCCTTGCCCCTTGCCTCTAAAAAAGAAAATTATTAGCTTTCATGTCGTTGGCTTCTTCATCAGTGGTTGCATTCAACACGCACGAGCATCACTTCAATCCAATTGAACTTCACCCAAAAAAAAAAAAAATGAAGAAGAAGAAGAAGAAGGGACATTATTGTTCTTTCAGTTTTGTATTAATTGCCAAAAAAAAAAAAAAATTATTCAAATTGTTTTTTGTTGAAGAAAAAGAGCACTTGTGCCCTTCAAAAATTGACTTTTTTTGGTTGAGAAACAAAAAATGACTTGAACTAACCTTCATAAAGATATGAAAAGAAAACAGATGGTATTATATGCGTGTTCTCTTCAAATCAAAATTCATTTCATTTTATATATATGTGTGTGTATGTATATATAATTTTCCTATAGTTGATTGCTTTCAATCTTTGCCTACCCAACTAGAACAGTTCTCTATTAAAATAATCCTAACTTTAACGGTTTTTTCAACAATAATAAGAGACTCAAATGATAACAGGGGTGATGAATAGCGGTAATAGATGTATTCTAACAGTAAAAAAGTTATTATAATTTGTCAAAAATTAATGCTTAAATTTTATTATTTATAAATAATTAATTATATATTTTTTAGTGATATTATATTTATACTGATTTGGTCTAAAAAAAAATCTAGTCTTCGACCAAAAATTCTAAAACTGTCGATTAGAATAGTTCTTTATTAAAATAAAATAAAAATCCTAACTTTAAAGATTTTTCAAACAGTAATAACGGACTCAAATGATAGTAAGGTCTGACTCTAGTTGCTCGTTTCAGCATGCGTGAACCAACCCAGCATGATTCAGGCTATGTGAAGGAAATCTCACGTACATTTAGTTTTTTTTTTCTTTTTTTAAGTGAGAGAGGAGCTCGACAGATCCCCACTAACTTGGCATGATGATATCAATAGAAAAAAATAATCTACTAGTAAAAAAGTTTTTTTTTTAATTTAAATAAGATTAAATTTTAATTTTAATTATTTATTAATAACTAGTCATTAATTTTTTTAATAATAGGAGATTTAAGTTGATTTGATTTAAGAAATCGTAAATAGTAAATCATAATTATCTTTTAATAATATCATATTTGAATTGATTTAATTTAAAAAACAGTTTAACAATCAGATTTAAATTGATTTAATTTAAAAAACAGTTTAACAATTCATCAAATATCCTGAAAATATCTTATTATACGTAAATACATATAAAAAAACATCATATTTGAATTTGTTTAATTTAAAAAACAATTTAACAATCAGATTTAAATTGATTTAATTTAAAAAAAAGTTTAACAATTGATCAAATATCCTATTATACGTAAATACATATAAAAAAACATGATGAATAAAAATGTAAGTTTTGAATTGTTTAATTTGACGTGATTATATTGTGGTTACATAATTAGCGAAGATAAACATTTTTCGAAGGTGAGAGCTTTTATGTTCCAATTGCCATATAAAATTGCCATATAAAATCTAATAGATAAATTTATATTTCATGGCGGAATTTGCACGATACAATATCAATTTAACTACAAGAGGTTTTGTGAACTCGAGTTAAGTCTCCTATTTTTTTCTAACCAAAACAGCATCGACATTAGAATAACAATGACAAAAAAAAAAAAAAAAAAAGAATTGTTTAAACATTCATTTCACTAACTTACAATGACCTTTTCACTGTAGAAATAATACTTTTGATGGGTGATGTCTAATCCAACATTCAATTTGTCACAATCATCAAGTCAATAATGACCAATTAAAGACAAACACAAAGCTCAATTAGACACATTGATCCGCCGAAATTGGCTTTCTCACAAATCATGGACTCGTGACCGACCAAATTTCGTGCATCACACCATAATTTTACTGTTTTAACCACTTATTTTTTTTAGAGACAAAGCATGGATTACATCTAATAAAGTCCCAC